CCTTCTGGTGCATTGGAGAATAGCTTGACCCCCCCCCTTCTTTGTGGCAGCCTCTCAAATATTGGAAATACTGCTATCATTCCCCCCCCCCCCGCGTCCTTCTCTTCATTAAACTAGACCAGGGGTCTTCAAACTTGGCTCTTTTATGACTGGTGGACTTCAACTCCCAGAATTCCTCATCCAGGATGCTTTAAGACAGGGGTCTTCAAACTTGGCCCTTTGATGACTGGTGGACTTCAACTCCCAGAATTCCTCAGCCAGCGTATGCTGGCTGAGGAATTCTGGGAGTTGAACTCCACCAGTCATCAAAGGGCTAAGTCTGAAGACCCCTGAACTAGACCTACTCAATTCCTGCAACCGGTCTTCATATATTTGGGTCTCCAGCCCTTTAACCCTCCCAGCTGATTTGGGGGATGGGGGGGACTCAGTTGAACTTTAGAGAGGATGGGTGGACTTCAATTCCCAGAATTCCCAGCGTCGGAAGACCACCCACCCTAAAGCTGCCCCGGTTGAGAAATAACTGCTTAATGCACAAGTCCCGATGGGGATTTCCTTGCCCGGACCCCCCCCCCACCACCACCAAGGGCCACCAGCCCAGGCGGATCTCCAGCCCCGATGCTGAACCACAACCCCGCAAGGTAGGCCGGCGAAAGGCAAGGAAGAAAGGCTCGCCCGCCTCCCCCCACTCTCCTCTTATAGAGGGGGCTGGTCTGCAATATCCCGCGCCAGCCCTTCGGTTCCTCCCCATACAGACGAAAAATCCGCCCCCCAAAAGAAAATGGAGGTGTGGCGCCCGCGGGCGCCCGGGTGGGGAAGGCGGAGACCCGCCGGGTCAAGCCGGACCGGACACGAGTTCGAATTTTGATGGACCACCGGAGAGGCCTCCCGACGTGTGGCCGGCCGGCCAACCGACCCGACGGGCGCCCGGCGAAGGAAGGGGCTCTACTCACGCAAGGATGCCGAAGAGGATAACGAGGCAGCCGGACTGAGCGCAACCCTCCCTCTCCTCACGCTCCGGCGGAAAGAAGGCAGGCGCGCTCCGCGCATGGGTTTGTGGGAGCGGCGCCTCTCCGGGCGAGCTCACTCCCTGCAGAGCCGGGGAGGGGGGTGGACGAAAGAGAGCGGGCGACACCAAAAGGGACAACCGAGACGGAAGGGGAGAATTTGCGGCGAGGAGACATTCTGGCATATCGAGGAGATTTCACGAGTGCCATGACAGGCGAAGCTTTTCCTTTTTTCCCCCTTTTTCTGCCTTTTTTCTTTCTTGCCCCCCCCTTCGACTACACTAATGGAACAGGCCGGGTTGAGAGGACGAGGCCACGGTGGCTGAGGGGAGGGGGGTGTCTAAAGTTGAGGGGTTTTTTTCCCTCCCCCAGAAAATGTTTTGGTTTCACTCGTTCTCGTCACATCTGCGAAGAAAATGATTTCCCGCAGGGAGGAGTACCGAGGGATTTGGGGGAGGGGAGGAAAAACCCACGACTTTCTCGCTCCCCCCCCCCCATTTGCTGGATTGAAGTCGTCCAAAGGTGCCTGGAGGAAACCAATGCAGTGTCAGTGAAGGGGAGGGAGGCGAATGGAATGGTCCACGGCGCATGGAGGAAACCAATACAATGCCAGTGAAGGGGAGGGAGGTGAATGGAATGGTCCACGGCAAAAGAAGGGGGGGAGAGAAATCATCCTTTTCCAGCAGTGGAGCAGAGAATACCCTGGACTGGTTCTGGGTCAGATTTGGGGTGGGCATCTTCTGCAAAGAGGCAGCTCTCTATGCCAACACCTGGACACCTCCAAACCTTTGCATTAATCAAACTTCCAAACCCTGATTGGAAAAACTTGGGCAGACTTTTGGGTTAGTTCAGGGCCATTATAACTTTGAAGGTCACATAAGCAAAGGTCCAGCATTGCCTATCAGTTCAAAAAAAGGAGGGGGAACTTCATTGATCTATGACAGTTGTTAAGTTAGTAACGTGGTCGTTAAACAAATCGGCCTTCCCCATTCACTTTGCTCATCAGACCCGGAACATGGCAACTCTCATAAATATGAGCCAGTTGCCAAGCGTTGAAAGAAAAGTCTTCATCAGGGTCCAGTCCAAGCCGGGAATAAACAACATGGCGACTGCTTTAGAGAGAAGGTTGCAGTTTATTGAAGAGCAGAGCCAGACAATTAGATGGCTCTGGAAGAAAAGAGAGAGAGAGCACACGTAGGGAGTGGGTTTTTATATCCTCTGGAGCCTTTTGTCTGGAGTTGTTTCTGTGGCGTGAACTTTGACTTGAGTCGGAGTGTGCCTTTCTGGTATTCTGACAGTGGTGGGTTAATCCTATTATATTCCAAGGGTCATGTCCTGCTTCCCTGGGGCTGTGGCTGATGGTTATGTCCTGTGTTGGAGTTTTTGGGTCGTGAGGGATTGTTGATCCTAGGGGTCTTTGTCTTTCTAATCCCATCAGCTTCCTGGCTCCAGTCTTTCTGACAGGATTATCACATCTGCATTTCTGCAGATCTGGTTTCTGTTTGGAGCAGAGAGACTTTGGGGGGGGGGGTTTCCTGCCTCTAAGATCCTTTGGGGAAATATAATATTCTGCCTTTTAATATTCCCCAAAATATTTCTTTCTTCCCACACAAGCAATCTGAATTTTGATCACGTGACTGTGTAGGATGCTGTGGCGGTCGTAAACGTGAAAAAAACGGTTGCAAGTCGCTTTTTTCAGTGCCGTTGTAACTTTGAACAGTCACTAAACGAACAGTTGTAAATTGAGGACTACCTCACTGAGGCCACTGAGAGCGTTGAGGATCATGGAGGTTAGGTGAGACTCTGATGAGACAAAGAAGCAAAGTTTCGTGTTCACGAGCGCTGTAGTATCAGCAAAACTGTACAGCTAGTCCTCATTTAACAACCATGTTGCTGAGCAATGGAACTTCAGGTTCCCAGTTATCATAAGTCGAGGACTGTGTGTAGTTCTCAACTTAACAGTTCATTCAGGGACCGTTCGAAGTTACGACACCGGAAAAAGGGACTTACGACCATTTTTCACACGGCCGTTGCAGCATCCTCCACGGTCACATGATCAAAATTCAGACACTTGGCAACTGACTTGTACTTATGACGGTTTTAGTGTCGCGTGATCGCCTTTTGCGACCTTCTGACCAGCAAAGTTAAGGGGGAAGCCAGATTCACTTAACCAGGTTACTAACGTTAGCAGCTGTGGTAAGAAAGGGCATAAAGTGGGGCAAAAAGTCACTTAACAATTGTCTCACTTAGTGACAGAAATTTGGGGCTCAATTGTGGTTGTAAGTCAAGGATGACGTATAATTAAGAGAAGAAATCGATGGCTTGCGTTACGATTGGGACAAAACTCCAAGAGAGTTTTTGCAACCAGCAAAACGGGTTGTGTTTGAACGGCTTCATCCCACACCAGACCCTTGTCTGTCTCGGCTCTGGCCACTGAGTGTGTTGAGGATCATGGGCGCTAGGTGGGAACCTGATGAGACAAGAACCAGGGTTTCTCGGGTTCAAAGAGAGCTTTTCTATCAATCAATCAATCAATCAATCAGAATAGAGCTGGAAGGGACTTTGGAGGTCTTCTAGTCTAACCCCCTGCTCAAGCAGGAGAACCTATACCATCTCAGGCAGGTGAATGTCCAGTCTCCTCTTAAAAATCTCCAGTGGTAGAGCACCACAACTTCTGGAGGCAAGTCGTTCCGCTGGTTTATTGTTCTCACTATTAGGAATAGAATAGAATAGCATAGAATCTTTATTGGGAATGGAATAGAGAACAGAGAACAGAGTAGAGTAGAATAGAATAAAGATTGTAGAATAGAATAGAATAGAATAGAATAGAATAGAATAGAATAGAATAGAATAGAATAGAATAGAATAGAATAGAATAGAATAGAATAGAATAGAAATAATAGAATAGAGTAGAGTAGAGTAGAGTAGAGTAGAGTAGAGTAGAATAGAATAGAATAGAATAGAATAGAATAGAATAGAAAATATGGAGTGGAATGGAATGGAATAGAATTATATTAGAATAGAATAGAGTAGAGTAGAGTAGAGTAGAATAGAATAGAAAATATGGAGTGGAATGGAATGGAATAGAATTATATTAGAATAGAATAGAATAGAATAGAATAGAATAGAATAGAATAGAATAGAATAGAATAAAGTAGAGTAGAGTAGAGTAGAGTAGAGTAGAGTAGAGTAGAGTAGAGTAGAATAGAAAATATGGAGTGGAATGGAATAGAATTAGAATAGAAAATAGAATAGAATAGAAAATATGAAGTGGAATGGAATGGAATAGAATTATATTAGAATAGAATAGGATAGAATAGAATAGAATAGAATAGAATGGACTATGGAATGGAATATGGAATAGAATAGAACATATAATGTAATGCAATGTAGTAGAGTAGAGTAGAGTAGAGTAGAGCAGAATAGAATAGAATAAACAGAGTCGGAAGGGATCTTGGAGGTCTTCTAGTCCAACCCCCCCCCCCCCAGGCAGGAAATCCTATACCTTTTCAGACAAATCTCTTAATCTCTTCTTTAAAACTTCCAATATTGGAGCATTCACAACTTCTGGAGGCCAGCTGTTGCATCGATTAATTGTTCTCACTTTTAGGAAGTTTCTCCTTAATTCCAGGTCGCTTCTCTCCTTGGTTAGTCTCCATCCGTTGTTTCTTGTCCTGCCTTCTCATGCTTTGGAAATAAATTGACCCCCTCTTCTTTGGGGCAGCCCCTCAAACTCTGGAAGACTGCTATGATGTTCCCCCCTAGTCCTTTTTTTCTCTAGACTGGCCATCCCCAATTCCTGCAACCGGTCTTTGTCTGTTTTAGTCTCCAGGCAAACCCTCATTCATCTTAGCTGCTCTCCATTGTAGCTACTTCCATTGCAGCTACCTGCAGCCTGGAAAACAGCTGCAAAATATCTCTTGCTTTCAGAAGGCAGAAGAAAGAAGACCCAACAGAGACAGAAAAAAAACAACAACCCCACAACAGACAAACTCATACCCAGCCACAGGGTCCCGACCGTTTATTCCTGGAAAACTTTGGAATGGAAAACTTTGGAATGGATCATACCAGGTCATAATAACTGGGTGTCTGGAAGTTGGCACCATGCCCCACGCGTTCGGTGGCATCCTCATGCGTTGCAGAATGACAGCATTTGTCAATCACAATCTGCAAAATGAGGGGGGGGGCGTCTTCACAAGGGGCAGGGTCCCGACACATCTGGTGGTGTCACACCAGCCTCGAGCCACACCTGGCTACCTGTTGACCAGTTCACGAGCCCGGCTAGTGGCCGCCTCCACGGCGTTCATGACCGTAGCACGCAGGGACCCCTTCTCCAGTTCGTGCAAGGCGTGGATGGTGGTGCCGCCCGGGGTGCAAACGGCACTCCTCAGAACCGCTGGGTGCTCCCCAGTTTCCAGGATCATCTTGGCAGCTCCCTGGAGGAGAGGAGAGAGAGCAAACAAAGGGAAAGGATGGACAGAGCATAAAGGGCCGACAAAAAAAGAATTTATCTGTATCTCCGGGTTGAACTGTGGGGTCCCTGGTGCTCTCTGACCTTGGATGTTTTCTTGAGGGCGTTTCAGGACCCAACTAGGGAAGAGTACAGAGAAGAGCAACAAAGATGATTAGGGGACTGGAGGCTAAAACATATAAGGAACGGTTGCGAGAATTGGGTATGTCTAGTTTAACGAAGAGAAGGACAAGGGGGGACATGATAGCAGTATTCCAATATCTCAGGGGCTGCCATAAAGAATAGGGAATTAAGCTATTTTCCAAAGCGCCTGAAGGCAGGACAAGAAGCAATGGGTGGAAACTAATCAAGGAGAGAAGCAACCTAGAACTAAGGAGAAACTTCCTGACAGTGAGAACAATTGATCAGTGGAACAACCTGCCTCCAGAAGCAGTAAATGCTCCAACACTGGAAGTTTTTAAGAAGAGACTGGACAGCCATTTGTCCGAAATGGTGTAGGGTTTCCTGCCCGAGCAGGGGGTTGGACTAGATGACCTCCAAGGTCCCTTCCAACTTTACTACTATTACATCATCAGTGCTAGAAGGGAGAGGGGTTTGCATAGAGGAGAAGAGGAGGAGGGAGGGACAGTGGATCCTTGGTGCTTTCTGAGCTTGGCTGTTTTCTTGCAGACGTTTCATGACCCAAGTAGGTAATATAATCATTGTTAGAAGGGAATAGGGTGTGTGGAGAGGAGGAGGAGGAGGAGGAGGAGGAGGAGGAAGAGGAGGAGGAGGACGACGACGTCGATGACAACTGTGAGGTCCTTGGTGCTCTCTGAGCTTGGCTGTTTTCTTGCAGACGTTTCATGACTCAAGTAGGTAATATCATCAGTGGTAGGAGGGAGTAGGGTCTGGGAGGAGGAAGAGGACGACTGTGGGGTCCTTGGTGTTCTCTGAGCGTGGTGGTTTTCTTGCGGATGTTTCACTATCCAACTAAGTAATATTGTTAGGAGTAGGGTTTGTGGAAGGGAGGAGGAGGAGGAGGAGGAGAAGGCTTAACTACCTGTACTTTTCAAGGGCAGCTCCATATAGAGCAGTGTTTCTCAACCTTGACAATTTTAAGGCATGTGGACTTCAACTCCCAGAATTCCTCAGCCAGCAATGCTGGCTGTGGAATTCTGGGAGTTGAAGTCCACATGCCTTAAAATTGTCAAGGTTGAGAAACACTGATGTAGAGGCTGTTGCAATAATCAAGACCGAATGGTGCACAAACACAGTATGTTGGGCTTTGACGGGAGTTCCGAAAAAAAACAACCCTGCAGGGTGTGAATTGGAACCCAAGTCCTGCCCCCTTCACTCCTTACCAACAAAGTCTGAGCTGCAATCTTGTTGGCTAGAGGGCCGGGCATCCCCATCTTCACGGCCCCTTCCGCTAGGGCTTCCGCGAACATGTAGACCTGTGAGGAGGAGGAAACTTGTAACTTTGAACAGTCACTAAGTAAACCATCGTAAGCCGAGGACTGCCCGTAAAGCTTTGGAGGTTTGAAGAGATGGGAGGACAGGGCTGACCGAATGAACTAATCAAGGAGAGAAGCAACCTAGAGCTAAGGAGAAACTTCTTGACAGTGAGAACAATTAACCAGTGGAACTCCTTGCCTCCAGAAGCGGTGAATGCTCCAACACTGGCAGTTTTAAAGAAGAGACTGGACAGCCATTTGTCCGAGATGGTATAGGGTTTCCTGCCTGAGCAGGGGGTTGGACTAGATGACCTCCAAGGTCCCTTCCAACTGTATTATTATTATTAACTGCACTCCCTCTCAACTTTCCGAAACTGTCCCAAACCTCACGCTCCCTCATCCATCACAAAATACAAATGGCAACCGTTCATTTAGTGACCGTTCAGAGTTACAACGGCACTACAAAAAAAAAAAAAAGTTCACTTACGACTGTTTTTCACATTTGTGAGCGTGGCAGCCTCCCTGGGATCAAAATTCAGATGTTTCGCAACTGACTCGTATTTATGACGGTCGCAGTGTCCCGGGGTCACAGGATTCCCTTTTGATGACATGTCAAGCAAACTCAATGGGGCAGGGGTAGGCAACCTTGGCCCTTTTATGACTCATGGACTTCAATTCCCAGAATTCCTGAGCCTCATGGGGGAACTATGGCCCCTTCATGACTTGAGGACCAACTCCCAGAATTCCTGAGCCAGCATGGGGGAGCTATGGCCCCCTCATGACTTGTGGACTTTAACTCCCAGAATTCCTGAGCCAGCATGGCTCAGCTTGGAAACCTCTCCCTTTCCCCTCAACATGGTTGGCTCAGGAATTCTGGGAGTTGAAGTCCAAAGTATTAAAGTTCCCATGGTTGGACACCCATAATTTAGACCAGGGTAGGCAACCTTGGCTCTTTCATGACTCGTGGACTTCCACGAGTCATAAAAGAGCCAACGTTGCCTTCCCCTGCAATGAGGGGAAGCCCAATTCGCTTAACGACCGTGTGACTACTTCACAACTTCCGTGATTCACTGAACGAGTGTGGCAAGAAAGGTCGTAAAATGAGGCCAAATTCACTTAACTGTCTCACTTAGCGACAGAAATACTCAGCTCAGATGTGGTCGTAAGTTGAGAACATTTTCACAGATTGAGGTCTACCTAAGTGTTGAAGTACAACTTCCAAAATTCCCAATAAGACAGGGCACCAAGCCAACATCTCTAGAGACCATGATGAGGAAGGCTGAGATATGCTGGTTATTTATTTTTATTTTTTTATAATATTTTATTGATTTTTTCCAATTTTACGTTTCAGTATTTAAAAAGCAACGTGGTGACTGGATTAATCAATAGCGCAATAACAAAATCTTTAGTGCAAATCTCAGGTTACATCATCAGATATTTTTTTCTCTTTTTCCTCTTAACATTTACTGTCTCGTATTCAAACCAGTACATTTCTAATTATATCAACTCAATAAAAATATCATTATTACATTTATTTATTTATTTATTTATTTATGAGACTTATATACCGCTTTAAGTGCAAGCACTCTCTAAGCGGTGTACACCAGTAAGCAATGTGTATATATATATATATATATATTTACATTGCCCCCAACAATCTGGGTCCTCATTTTACCTACCCCGGAAGGATGGAAGGCTGAGTCAACCTTGAGCCGGTGAGATTTGAACCGCTGACCTGCTGAACACAGTCAGCTAAAGTGGCCTGCAATACTGCACTCTAACTGCTGCGCCACCTCAATAAGTTTTTAGCTTATACGTATCTTAATTACATTCAATCTTCGTAAACAATCCATATCCTGTTATTAACTTTTACTCAATTTTTAATTTCTGATCAATATTCCAACTGAACCTTTAATATTTGTAATTTTCAGGCTTTGGGTAACCAAGATTTCCCTTATCTCACTTTATAACAAATAATATCCAAAATACACATTTTATGTATTTAAATGTAACCCTGTTCTATTTCCTAAAGGTTATCTATTTCCCACCATATTAAATCGTCTACTTAATGATGCAATATCCCCTCTGATAAATCAAAACCCATATATATATGTTGCCTGGGTTAATCAATAAATCAAACGTATTCATGATAATTAATGTTCTTTTCCTTTTTAGATCTAATTTTTCAATATTGAACAAATCAAATCCTTTGTATACTGCTTATTTTTGCAGGTCATCCAAGCTTTAGGTTCCTAATTATTTGGGGGGGGGGGAGAGAGGGGGGCCTAAGGGGAAAATCAGGTTGCAGAAAAAGAAAGGAAGAGGACTTGGTGGGAACACCTGCATGTGGACTAGAAACTTAAAAGATTCTTTGAAAAAGCCACTGCCTGATGGAAGTGGGAGAGGGCAGATGCCTTATCTGCAATTTGCAACGGACGCAGGTAAACCTCGACTTTGCCCCATTTTACGAACTGTTGTTAAGTGAAGGTCGCAAAAGCAGATCATGTGACCCTGGGACGCCGCGACCGTCATAAAGACGAGTCGTTGGCCAAGCGACTGAATTTCGATCCCGTGAGCAGGCGGACGGCGCGACGGTTGTTCACGGGCGAAAAACGGCCCCAAGTCGCTTTTTTTCAGCGCCGTTGTAACTGCGAGCGGTCGCTAAACGAAAGGTCGTTAAGTCGAGGACCGGCTGTGTAAGAGGCTGAGTAAGGACAGGGGGGGAAGGAGACTCACGTAAGCCACGCCACTGCCGCTCAGCCCCGTGTGAATGTCGATGTAGGATTCAGGCGCCTCTTCACACAACCCACAGGGAGCCAGGAGGGTCTTCAGCACAGAGGCCTCCTCTTTTCCCACGGAGGAACCCCGGGTGAACAGGACGGCCCCCGACTGCACCTCGCAAGGCAGATTGGGCATGATCCGCAGGACCTGGGTGCCCACGGGAAGCAGCTGCAAGGAAGGAGAGAAAGGAACGGTCACGACTGAATCCTGGAGGGCCATCACTCAAATAGGAGCCAGCCGTGTGCTGCAGCTGCCAAAAAAGCCAACACAGTGCTAGGCTGCATTAACAGAGGGATGGAATCAGGATGAGGTGAAGCGTTAATACCACTTTACAAGGCCTTGGTGAGGCCACACCTGGAATCCTGCATCCAGTTTTGGTCACCACGATGTAAAAAAAGATGTTGAGACTCTGGAAAGAGTGCAGAGAAGAGCAACAAAGATGATCAGGGGACTGGAGGCTAAAACATACAAGGAACGGTTGCTGGAATTGGGTATGTCTAGTTTAACGAAGAGAAGGACGAGGGGGGACAGGATAGCAGTCTTTCAATATCTCAGGGGCTGCCCCAAAGAAGAGGGAGTCAAGCTATTCTCCAAAGCCCCTGAAGGCAGGATAAGAAGCAACAGAGGGAAACTAATCAAGGAGAGAAGCAACCTAGAACTTAGGAGGAATTTTGTTTAATAGAACATAATAGAACAGAATTTGGAACAGAATGGAATATAGAATAGAATATAGAAGTATAGAATATAGAATAGAATATAGAAGAATAGAAAATATAAAATAGAATAGAGAATAGAGAATAGAGAATAGAGTAGAATAGAGTAGAATAGAATAGAATAGAATAGAATAGAATAGAATAGAATAGAATAGGAATAGAAGCTGGAAGGGACCTTTGGAGGTCTTCTAGTCCAGCCCCTTGCTCAAGCAGAAGAACCTATATCTATATATAAAAGTTTAAAATGAGAAGAAGGCAAGAGCATATGTGAGATAGGAAGGAAGGAAGGAAGGAAGGAAGGAAGGAAGGAAGGAAGAAAGGAAGGAAGGAAGGAAGGAAGGAATCTTTGGACTCTGGACAGCTAAAATAAAGTCTTCAAATATAAAACAGCATATACAAAAGTTAAACGTGAGAAGGCGTCAAGAGGGATTAAGCTCTATTAAACTGAGAAAGGAGGTAAATGCGAAAGAATCGGGCCCCGCCACTTCCCGTTCCCAGGGACAGCGATACCCACGGATCCTCTTGCCCAGCCTGGGTAGGGCTCTTGGGGGACAGAGTAACCCAGCTGGAAGGGACCTCGGGAGGTCCTCTAGTCCAACCCCCCGCTCAAGGAGGGACTCCCGATGAACAGGACCCAGAGTGCTGGGCTTTAACAAGTGCAGCAACTGTTTGCAAAAAAAAAAAACCCTTTTCAGCCTGTGACAGGGATCCTGGACATGCAGTTCGTTTAGTGACCATTCGAAGTTACGACGGTGGTGGGGAAAAAAAGACCTTACGGCCGTTTTTCCACACTTATGACCGTTGCAGCAGCCCCGCAGTCACGTGATTCAGATCCGGAGGCCTGACCACCGGTTCATATTTACGACGGTCGCCATGTCCCAGGCTCACATGGACACAGGACAAGCAAAGTCATTCATTTAATGACCGTGCGACGAATTTAACCACTGCAGTGATTAACAACAGGGGCAAGAAAAGCCGTAAACCGGGACAAAGCTCCCTTGACGAATGTCTCGCTTAGCCACATAAACCCTGGGTCAACTGTGGACGCAAGCCGAGGACGGATGGTCTCCCTACACAGGGTTGCTTCCTCCCGGAACTCACCTCTTCCAGGGTGCGGAGGGTGACGCCAGCGGCCATTGAAACGAGGACGTGCCTGGGTGTGACGGCGGGGCCGATCTCTCGCAGGACAGCCGGGAGGACGTGGGGCTTGGTGGCCAGGAATACGAAGGAGCACTTCTCCAGCACCTCCACGTTGCAGTGGGTCGTCTGACAGGAGAAGCTCTTATATTGGAAGGAGGAAAGCAAAAAAGAAAAAGACGATGATGAAGGGGCTAGAGCAGTGGTTCTCAACCTTTTTAAGGTCGCGACCCCCAACCGGTCGTAAGTCGAGGGCTACTCAACCGGTCGTAAGTCGAGGACTACTCAACTGGTGCAGCACCGTTTGCAGAATGGGGCTTTTGGTGGGCTCAGCAGGGCAGAGACAGCCTGGACAATTCCTATTGGCTTTTGAAAGCCAATAGAATTAGATTCTATTCAAGAGAGTCTATTCTATTGGCTTTCAAAAGCCAATAGAATAAAAGGGAGTAGCACAGCTAAGGAAAAGGGGGAAAAAAATGGCGGACTGCGTTGTTTGGCGACCCCCGTGAAATGGTCGTTCGACCCCAAATGGGGTCCCGAACCACAGGTTGAGAACCACTGGGCTAGAGGCTAAAACATACAAGGAACAGTTGCTGGAGTTGGGTGTGTCTAGTTCAGGGATAGGCAACCTGGGCTCTTTTATGACTGGTGGACTTCAACTCCCAGAATCCCTGAGCCAGCCGTGCTGAGGGGAAAGGGAGAGGTTTCCAAGCTGAGCCATGCCAGCTCAGGAATTCTGGGAGTTGAAGTCCACCAGTCATAAAAGAGCCCAGGTTGCCTACCCCTGCCCTAGACTAGGGGTGGGAACCTTGGCTCTTTTATGACTGGTGGACTTCAACTCCCAGAATTCCTGAGCCAGCCTGGGGAACTATGGCCCCCGTCATGACTGGTGACTTCAACTCCCAGAATCCCTGAGCCAGCAGTGAGGGAAACTTTGGCCCCTTCATGACTCGTGGACTTCAACTCCCAGAATCCCTGAGCCAGCATGGCTCAGCTTGGAAACCTCTCCCTTTCCCTTCAGCATGGCTGGCTCAGGAATTCTGGGAGCTGAAGTCCACGAGTCATGAAGGGCCATAGTTTCCCCATGTTGGCTCAGGAATTCTGGGAGTTGAAGTCCACGGGTCATAAAAGAGCCAAGGTTGCCTACCCCTGGTCTAGTTTAATGAAGAGAAGGACAAGGGGGGACAGGATAGCAGTCTTTCAGTATCTCAGGGGCTGCCCCAAAGAAGAGGCAGTCAAGCTATTCTCCAAAGTGCCTGAAGGCAGGACAAGAAGCAACGGATGGAAATTAATCAAGGAGAGAAGCAACCTAGAACTAAGGAGAAACTTCCTGACAGTGAGAACAATTAACCAGTGGAACAACCTGCTTCCAGAAGCGGTGAATGCTCCAACACGAAGTTTTTAGGAAGAGACTGGACAGCCATTTGTCCGAAATGGTATAGGGTTTTCTGCCTGAGCAGGAGGTTGGACTAGATGACCTCCAAGGTCCCTTCCAACTCTGTTTATTCTATTCTATTCTACTCTACCCTGTTCTGTACTCTCCTATTCTATTCTCTCCTATTCTATTTTCTTGTATTCTCTTGTAGTCTCTCCTCTTCTCTTCTCTTCTCTTCTCTTCCCTATTCCATTCTATCCTATATTCTATTCCATTCCATCTATGAGCAGTAGAAATGACTGGACAAGGGGAAAACGTTACCTGTACATATTTACCTGGAATTTGACCAGATTCCTGTTGGACGGAGCGCTAGCCAGAATATTCACTGCTTGGACTTCTCCTGCAGAAAGAGAGAGAGGAGAAAGGATGGCAGTAGTAGAACTCATCACTGGATTGCAAATTCACTGAGTTGTAAACAGCCAAGATTTACAACAGGGGCTAAAGCTAGGAGAAGTAGACACCTCTTAAATCTAAATATTTAAATAAGGATGGGCTGGACATCCCACCACCTCTGCTGAAGAGCAGTTCAGATTTCTTGCTACATCTCCTATGTTGGGTGAAGGTCAAGGTGAGAAGATCCCGCCAATTGTTTCAAAAGGTACTTTTTCCAAAAGGAAACTGGACTTTTTTTCCCTAACAAAGGAATATATTAGAATTAGAATAGAATAGAATTAGAACAATATAGAACAGAATAGTATAGAATAAGAATAGAATAGAAAATAGGGAATAGAATAGTATAGTATAGAATAAGGAAAGAATAGAACAGAACAGAATAAAGAATAGAATAGACTAAAGAATAGAATATAATAGAATTAGAATAGAATAGAACAGAATAGACTAAAGAATAGAATAGACTAAAGAATAGACTAGAATAGAATAGAACAGGAGAATAGAATAAATAGAATAGAATAGCAGAATAAAGAATAGAATAGAAAATAGGGACTAGAATAGTATAGTATAGAATAGAATAAGGAGAGAATAGAATAGAACAGAATAAAGAATAGATTAAAGAATAGAATAGACTAAAGAATAGAATAGAATGAATAAAATAGAACAGAATAGATTAAAGAATAGAATAAAGAATAGAATAGAATTAGAATAGAATAGAACAGAATAGATTAAAGAACAGAATAGATTGAAGAATAGAATAAAGAATAGAATAGTAGAATATAGAATAGAACAGGAGAATAGAATAAATAGAATAAAGAATAGAATAGCAGAATAGAATAAAGAATAAATAATAGAATAGAGAATAGAATAGCAGAATGAAATAGAAAAGAATAGGATAGGATAGAATTCAGAATAGAATAGAATGAAGAATAGAATAAAGAATAGAAATAGAAATAGAACAGAATAGAAAATAGAAATAGAACAGAATTCAGAATAAGATAGGAAAGGATAGAATAGAATTTAGAATAGAATAGAATTCAGAATAGAATAACTTTATTGTCACTTTGAATGTACACTAATCGGCATACATTAAAGTGAAATTCCGTTGCATACAGCTCTCAAAGGGTCCCCACCTCCGATATACACTACATAAATATGACAAAAATAAATACAGAATGATGCCTATACCCATATATATTATACAACACAGCGAAACAAGACAGTTTAGGTCAGATTATATATACGGTATAAGCCATTTCATTGGTTCTACCCCAGGATGAGCAGAAAGCTTCAAAAAACGTGGTGCTGACGGACGTTGGCGTGGTGTACAGCCGCGTCTCTGAACCCTGGGTAATTTAAGATGGGCCAGGTTACTTACAGGACCAGATTACTTACAGGACCGCATTCTGCCGCACAGTTCCCAGAGACCGGTGAGGTCCCATAGATTGGGCCTCCTTCAGGTCCCGTCGGCCAATGTCGGCTGGCGGGCCCTCGGGGAAGGGCCTTTTCTGTGGTGGCTCCGACCTAGTGGAATCAACTTCCCCCCGAGGTTCGAACTACTCCCACCCTGCCGGCCTTTAAGAAAGCCGTTAAAACTCTCCTGTTCCGGCAGGCCTGGGGCTGATGTCCCCGGGGGGCCGGGATATGATTGGACTCGCGGTATGACTGGATTATTTTATTGTTTTATGACTGTTTTAACTTTGTACGCCGCCCTGAGTCCTTTGGGATTGGGCGGCATATAAATATTTGTAAATAAATAAATAAATAAATAAATGTGTGGACTTCAACTCCCAGAATCCTGAAGAGTCGAAATCCAGACGTCTTAAAACTGCCACGGTTGAGGAAAACCTAGCCTCAGGGATGGTTAATACATCTGAAAGAGGCCGCTTCAACATCCAACTTTCCAAGGGGTGCATCTTCTACCAACGAAACATTTTAGATCCCAATAGATCGGACAGTTACCATTGGATCTCCAATATTCCGCATTGGGCCAAGGCACTCGAGATTGTGATGGTGACCCAGTTCCAGGATTTACAGAACTGGACTTTTCAACTGGATCCGTTTTAGCCTGGCTTCCCAGCTGTCTCTGGAACTCAAGTAGGCTTTCCTGTCTTGTGAGATGTTTTCTATCGCGCTCCGAGCGGAGGAGGCATCTCTTTGTGGGTTCCGCTTGAATGTCCACCCATTTTTGGTGCCAGCAGCCTTGAGGTCCTCCTGGATTGTCTTGCAAGGATAAGACTTTGGGAGGCTGCAGGACAGTCGATCCTGAAGGGCAGATTCCACTTCTTGTCTTCTGCGCTAATTAACATTTGCATGAATTAAGAACGCTCTGCTCATTTCAGCCCAGAAAGCAGGAAAGTTTCTGAACTGCTGGATAAGATTGAGAATGCCGTAAAGTTCTCCACTTACAGCATTCAGAACCAGAGGCCTCAAAGGTGTTTTTTTTTTTTTCATGAAGCAACTGGACTTTGAAGACGTTTCGCTTCTCATCCCAGAAGCTTCTTCAGCTCTGACTGGATGGTGGGGAACGGAAGGATTTATACTCCTTGCAGACAGCCGATCATTTGCCTCCTTTTAGGGAGTCATTGAGGCCACCTGGAGGTGGACTGGATGATGGCGACTCTCCACGACTCTCTACAACAGTGGTTCTCAACCTGTGGGTCGGGACCCCATTTGGGGTCGAACAACCATTTCACAGGGGTCGCCAAACAACGCAGTCCGCCATTTTTTCCCCCTTTTCCTTAGCTGTGCTACTCCCTTTTATTCTATTGGCTTTTGAAAGCCAATGGAATAGACTCTCTTGAATAGAGTCTAATTCTATTGGCTTTCAAAAGCCAATAGGAATTGTCCAGGCTGTCTCTGCCCTGCTGAGCCCGCCAAAAGTCCCATTCTGCAAACGGTGCTGCACCGGTTGAGTAGTCCTCGACTTACGACCGGTTGGGGGTCGCGGCATTAAAAAGGTTGAGAACCACTGCTCTACAAGAATGCAAATAATCCTTCAGTCAGAGTTGAAGAAGCTTCTGGGAGGAGAAGCGAAATGTCTTGAAAGAAAAACAAAGCAAGTCCAGTTGCTTCCTGAAAAAAGTACCTTTGGGAGAAGGAGGAAAGGGAAAGAGGAAGAGGAGGAGGAGAAAGGGAGGGAAAGGAGAAGGATAGGAGAGAGAGACAGAGACAGAAAGGAAGGAATGAAGGAAAAATAAAGAGAAAGAAAAAGAAAGAGAAAAAGAAAGAGAAAAAGAAAGAAAGAAAGAAAGAAAGAAAGAAAGAAAGAAAGAAAGAAAGAAAGAAAGAAAGAAAGAAAGAAAGAAAGAAAGAAAGAGTCTGTGGGAGTATAAAACCTCCCATCCCCCAGTCAGAGCTGAAGAAGCTTCTGTGGATGAGAAGGGAAACGTCTTCAAAGAAAAACAAGAAAGTCCAATTGCTTTGTGAAAAAAAAATGCCTTGGGGACAGCCATGACCTGGATGACTGAGAATCTGAATGAAAAGGACATTAATTTAAAAGCCATACAGGTTATTAACATCTGTTTGACTTCTGAGGAAGAGGAGGAAGGGAGGGAAAGGAGGAGGATAGGAGAGAGAGAGAGACAGAAAGGAAGGAAGGAAGAATAAAGAGAAAGAGAAAGAAAGAAAGAAAAAGAAAAAGAAAAGAGAAAGAAAGAAAGAAAGAAAGAAAGAAAGAAAGAAAGAAAGAAAGAAAGTAAGTAAGTCTGCAAGGAGTATAAATCCTTCCCTTCCCCACTATCCAGTCAGAGCTGAAGAAGCTTCTGTGGATGAGAAGTGAAACGTCTTCAAAGAAAAACAAAAAGTCCAATGGACTTCTGAAAAAAAAGCACCTTTGGGAGAAGGATGAAAGGGGAAGAGGAAGAGGAGGAGGAGGGAGGGAGGGAAAGATGGAGAAGGATAGCAGAGACAGACAGAGATACAGAGAAAGAAAAGAACGATAGAAAGATGGAAAGAAAGAAGGAAAGAATGATAAAAAGATGGAAAGAAAGAAAGGAAGGAAAGAGAAAGAAAGAAAGAAAGAAAGAAAGAAAGAAAGAAAGAAAGAAAGAAAGAAAGAAAGAAAGAAAGAAAGAAAGAGTCTGTGGGAGTATAAAACCTCCCATCCCCCAGTCAGAGCTGAAGAAGCTTCTTGAATGAGAAGGGAAACGTCTTCAAAGAAAAACAAGAAAGTCCAATTGCTTTGTGAAAAAAAAATGCCTTGGGGACAGCCATGACCTGGATGACTGAGAATCTGAATGAAAAGGACATTAATTTAAAAGCCATACAGGTTATTAACATCTGTTTGACTTCTGATTATTGCACTTGTTTCGGGGTCTGTCCCAATAGAATACAAATATACCCCTAACATATTTTTGTGCTGTTTAAATGTGTGTGTGTGTGTGTGTGTTTCAATGTACTTTGATTAGACTTGGGCAAAAGGTTTCAAATCTAAAACTTTTTTGATTTGGATTTCATACCCCCCCCCCAAAAATTGCTGTACCTCTGGAACACTTCCTGTAAGAATGGAACAGCTTATTTGGAATTGGGGGGGGGGGAAATAGTGCAATTCTAATTTTAACTTGCTGTCCAGCAAACAGATAAAACTTTGCTACTGGGGCCAGGGTTCATTTTATTGAATAAATTTATTCATTAATTTATTCATTGAATAAATAAAGAACAGAGCGGTTTCTAGCCATGGTGGCTATTCCCCCGATGCCATTTTTCATTGTAAGACACAATTTGAGACGGGGAAAATACATTTTTAAATAAGTTCTTGACGCTTTTCAGCACTTGATCCAAAAAAATGGCTCAGCGTTTACAAGTTGCATGCCGTGCTATCAATTCTTTAACCAAGCATATGTTTTCCTAGAAGGGTGCACCTTTTTCTGAGCATAAATTGCTCCCTTCCTTGGGTTAAAATTGGGCATTCAGAAAATATTAAGAAAACACACCCACCATCTTAAGTATCCCTCTGAGAATTTAAATAAATAGATGTCCCAGGAATTAAACAATTAGGATCACTGGATGGACCAATGACGAGGTCCAGGAGTCGTGGGCAAAAACCGGCCAGTGCTATAAAAAAGAGACTCCCATCGACCTGTTTTTAAGCTCTGATGATGTCGGTAGTGCTGACCGCCGAAAGCTCAGCATTTTATTAAACGTTTTTAGTTTAATTTTATCCCGGTGTTCGCGTTTATTTATTTTTATTGTATGGCTTTACCCAGGATTCAAATTTTTAATGAAATTAGAGATAAATAGATGTGTATTTTGAATACAAGATATTATTATGAGTGGAGATAAAGAAAACTTTATTTAATACATAGAAGTATGAATATTAATATAAATTTGAATGCTGATTTGTTCATAAAGGTCATGTAGAGACGATTAAGAAATATATAAACTAAAAACCTGTTGATGAATGTAATAAATAAATAGCTCTGAACATGAGATAGTAGATACAAAGAGGATGAGAGAGGAAATATTAAATGTTGAAATAAAAGGAATTTTGGATACTAAACTTAAGATACTTGGAAACTATTAGGAAAAAAAAGAATATTTCATTGTATGATCAATTTGTTGAAGTAGATGGTAAGAACTTAAAGAGATAAGACGTGTATCCTGAATATCAGATTTTGTGAGGAACATTTAAAACTTGGAAATGATAAATATTAAAAGGTTAATTTTAAATATCAATGGAAAATTAAAATTGAGAAAAAGTCACTAGGACAGTGGTTCTCAACCTGTGGGTCGGGACCCCATTTGGGGTCGAACGACCATTTCACGGGGGTCGCCAAACAACACAGTCCGCCATTTTTTCCCCCCTTTTCCTTAGCTGTGCTACTCCCTTTTATTCTATTGGCTTTTGAAAACCAATAGAATAGACTCTCTTGAATAGAGTCTAATTCTATTGGCTTTCAAAAGCCAATAGGAATTGTCCAGGCTGTCTCTGCCCTGCTGAGCCGCCAAAAGTCCCATTCTGCAAACGGTGCTGCACCAGTTGAGTAGTCCTCGACTTACGACCGGTTGAGTAGTCCTCGACTTACGACCGGTTGGGGGTCGCGGCATTAAAAAGGTTGAGAACCACTGCACTAGGACATTGGTTGTCTCAAAGATTGAACGTAAAAACAATCAATCAATCAATCTATTTATCTCTCTATCTATATAAACTAAAAACTATTGATCATTGTAAGAAAGGTATTTTTTATTTGACTGATAGAATGAGAAGTGTATTAATTCAAATATGAGACGGTACATATTCAGGGGAAAAGAGGAAATACCTGTTGTAATAGTTTGAGATTTATATTAATGATATTTGTATGTAACCGAATTATAGCAACTCAGCCGCCACGCTGTTTTTCAAAGATATAAATGTAATGTTAGAAAATCAATAAAATTTTCAAAAAGAAAAAACAGACCCAATGCTATGGTTAAAAAACACGGTTTGATGAAAAGCAGCCCAAAGGTCACAAAGGGAATTATGGAAGGAATAATTTTCTAAGGGAATCCACGTTGACCTAACTTGACTTTCCTTAGAAAAATTTTCCTTCCATAATTTCCAGATCAAAGCAAAATTTCCAGAGGTCTAGACTCAGGGAAGTCAGAGTGAGGCAAGATCACTGAGAAAAACAGGAGGGAAAAAACAAATCAAGATTTTTCCATGACTGCAGTAAGTTTCCACAAGAGCAGTAAAGTTGTAAAAACTTACAAACCTGCCTCTTCCTTTACAGCAATATCCCTTCCCCCATTTAGAGTACAGGTAGTCCTCAATTTACGACCACAATGGATCTCAAAGGTTCTGTTAAGTGAAACATTTAACATTTTGCCCTATTTTATAATCTTTTCTGTCATAGTTGTTAAGTGGATCGCTGCAGTTAAGTTACTAACAGGGTTCTTAAGTTGAATCTGGCTTCCTCAGAAGATCACAAAAGGGGATCCTGGGACACTGCGACCGTCGTAAATATGAGTCAGTTGCCAAGCGTCCGAATTTTCATCACCTGACCATGGAGAAGTGTGAAAAACAGTTATAACTCACTTTTTTTTAGTGCTGTTGTAACTTTGAACGATCACTAAACAAATAGTTGTAAATTGAAGACTACCTGTGATCTAAAACTCATCAAGGAGAGAAGCAACCTAGAATTAAGGAGAAACTTCCCAACAGTGAGGAGAATTAACCAGTGGAACTCCAGAAGTTGTGAATGCTCCAACACTGGAAGTTTTTAAGAAGAGACTGGACAGCCATTTGTCTGAAATGGTAATAGGGTTTCCTGCCTGAGCAGGGGGTTGGACTAGATGACCTCCAAGGTCCCTTCCAGCTCTGTTATTCTGTAATTCTGCTAATCCTAACTGATTTCAGGAGCAAATAACCTGAAAGGATTGGTGCTTCAAAGAGTCTCTCCTTAGGGATCTGAAACATACTACTGAATTACAGGTAATCCTCCTCTAAGTAAGGTATCCCTTTAAGGGACCCCTCTAAGTAAGGGACTCCTCTTAAGTACCCCTCTGAGTGACGCTTCTTAGGGACTCCTCTAAGGGACCCCTCTAAGTAAGGTATCCCATTAAGTAATGGACCCCTCTAAGTAAGGAAGCCCCCTTAGGGACCCCCTAAGTAAGGGACTTCTCTTAAGTACCCCTCTTAGTAAGTGACGCCCCTTAGGGACTCCTCTAAGTACCCCTCTGAGTAAGTGATGCCTCTTAGGGACCCCTCTAAGGGACAGCCTTTAGGGACCCCTCTAAGTAAGGGAGCCCTCTAAGTAAGGGACTTCTCTTAAGTACCCCTCTGAGTAAGTGACGCCCCTTAGGGACTCCTCTAAGGGACGCCCCTTAGGGACCCCTCTAAGTAAAGGACCCCTCTAAGTAAGATACCACTCCTTAGGGACCCCTCTAAGTAAGGGACTTCTCTTAAGTACCCCTCTGAGTAAGTGACGCCTCTTAGGGACTCTTCTAAGGGACTCCTCTAAGGGACGCCCCTTAGGGACCCCTCTAAGTAAGGGACTTCTCTTAAGTACCCCTCTTAGTGAGTCCCCTTAGGGACCCCTCTAAGTAAGGGATCCCCCCCTTAGGGACCCTCTAAGTAAGGGACCTCTCTAAGTAAAGTATCCCATTAAGTAAGGGAACCCCCCCTTAGGGACCCCTCTAAGTAAGGGACCCTTTTCTCTGCTCCGCCCCCCCTTGCATCTGAGCCCCTCCAATCGGGCTCCAAAGACCCCAGCCGGGTCTTCCAACTGGGGAGGGGGGCTCCGTGCCTGCAAAAGCGCCCGCCCGCCTGCCAAGCCGCCCCCCGCGAGCCTCCCGCCCTCCTTCCCCTTACCTGCCAGCAGCATCGCCCGGGCCACCGCGCCCGCCATGCGCCCCGCGCCGATGAAGCCCACGCGCAGCTCCCGCAGCGGCTCCATGGCGCTTCTGCCCGCCCCGCCCCCCGCCGCCGCGCACGGCCAGGTTTTGCTCCGGCCACGCCCCCCGCCGCACCGCACAGCCAATCCCCGCGCGGCTCCGCTCGCGGGTCTCGCGCTCGGTAGGGAGCGCGTATCCGCCCCGCCCCTTTCCGGAGGCGAGGCGGGCTGGCGCGGCGGCGATTGGCCGCGCGCCCGTGACGTCACGCGGCGGGTTTTCTTAAAAGCGGCCGCGCGGCTCGCGGAGCGCACTTGCGGGGTTCGGAGGAGGCGGAAGGTCGGTAGGTTTTGGGGGGCGCTTTACCTCGCCGGACCCCGCTGTTGGCTTCCCTTTCACGCCGTGCTGGGCTCCAATGAGGTTTCTCTCTCTCTCTCTCTCTTCGCCCCCCTTTGCACCTGCCCGACTTTGGCTAATTTTTTGCCAAGCCCAGCTGTGCTGGTCTTTGGATAGGGGACCACGAGGCGATCCACGGGGAAGCGGTTTAAAAGCGTTCAGGGGAAAAGGGAAGGGCAATTTGCAAGAGCTGGGTTTTTTTTACAGGAGGAGGCTTTTGAGTTTTCCTGCTTGGCCTGACCGTAGACTCAGAAGTGGTGGGTGTGTTATCACTGGAGGTTTTTAAGAAGAGATTTGAAGAGCCGTTTTGCTGCTTGGGCAGGGGGTTGGACTAAAAGACCTCCAAGGTCCCTCCCAACTCTGTTATTCTGCAAGGGTCTCCTGCTTGAGCAAGGGGTTGGACTAGAAGACCTCCAGGGTCCCTTACAAGTCTATTATTCTCTAAGGGTCTCTTGCTTGAGCAGGGGGTTGGACTAAATGACCTCCAAGGTCCCTTCCATGTCTGTGATTCTGCAAGGGTCTCCTGCTTGAGCAGGGGGCTGGACTAGAGGACCTCCAAAGTCCCTTCCAACTCTGTTCTGTTATTCTGCATAGCTTGTCTCTGCTCCATCCCTGGAGGTTTTTAAGAAGAGATTGGAGAGCCATTGAAATGGTGTAGGGTTTCCTGCCTGAGGGTCAGGGGGTCAGACTAGAAGACCTCCAAGGTCCCTTCCAGCTCTGTTATTCTGTTATAGAAGCTGGCTTAAGGTTTCAAAGAAGACAGCATGGCCCATAGGAAGCTGAAGTACGAAAATACAACACAAATGAGGGTCTCTGGCCTTTAAAGACCTTACTTAAAAGTGAGGGGTCCTTGCAGGTTTTAAAATGCAACGCAATAATTGTTAGTTATCGCTTATTACTCTGCGTTCTTAAAGCTGCCTTGGGTAAAATGAAGCAATACAAAACCAAGTAAATTTTTGCAGTAGAATTGTCAACATCGGGAATATCTTACCTGGTTGAGTTCGCTATTAAACTTTCATAATTTTCCTTTGAGGTGGCGCAGCAGTTAGAGTGCAGTACTGCAGGCCACTTTAGCTGACTGTGTTCAGCAGGTCAGCGGTTCAAATCTCACCGGCTCAAGGTTGACTCAGCCTTCCATCCTTCTGGGGTAGGTAAAATGAGGACCCAGATTGTTGGGGGCAATGTAAATATATATATATATATATATATATATATATATATATATATATATATACATTGCTTACTGGTGTACACCGCTTAGAGAGTGCTTGCACTTAAAGCGGTATATAAGTCTCATCAATAAATAAATAAACTTCTCTGGACCTCACTCCTTATTTAAGAAGTCCCTAAAAGGAGGCATGTGTAAATGCACTAATGTGCTTGTTGTCCCCGTTTTTATTTTCTTATTTTGCTTGTTCGGATTTGTCATTTTTGTTGGACAAATAATTGGGTCCTGAAAAAAAACTCGGGAAATCTGAATGCAATTGAAGAGAGCAGGGATGCTGCTAATAATACAGGGATTGTAGATGCTCTGTGGGGTGAGGGGGAAAGTCTTTTCAACTGGCAGTGGAAGGGTCTGGGGGTCTTTCTCCAGGTCTGGGGCCAGGACCTTTTTCAAGTGGAGCCTCGGTGTTCCACAGCAGTCTACCGTGGAATGAGAGTTTGTGTGTTAGCAAGTAGCAGAGAATCATTGCCTTTAGAGCAGGGGGGTCCACCTTTGGGAATTTTAAGATTTAATAATGATGATAATAATAATAGTAGTAATAATAATAATAATAATCCATAATTAATAATAAAAGTTGGAACAGACCTTGGAGGTCATCTAGTCCAACCCCCTGCTCAGGCAGGAAACCCTATACCATTTCAGACAAACAGCTGTGCAGTCTCTACTTGAAAACGTCCAGTGTTGGAGCATTCACAGCTTCTGGAGGCAGGTTGTAGACTTCAACTCCCAGAATTCCCCAGCCAGCCGTTGCTGGTTGGGGGAATTCTGGGAGTTGAAGTCCATAAGTCTTAAAAGTGGCCAATCATTCTTCTTTTAGCATATGTTTGTGGGCCTTTTGTAACCAGGTGATTCTCCAATTACCAGGTTGGGGAGGGACCCTAGAAGTGGAAAGTGAGGACCACACAGTCCTCCTCCTCCTCCCTTCTAGCACTGATGATGTTCCCTAGTCAGGTCACGAAACGTCTGCAAGGAAACCCCCCAGCTCAGAGAGCTCCCAGGACGCCCCAATCCTTTCCTCCTCCTCCTCCTCCTCCTCCTCCTCCTCCTCCTCCTCCTCCTCCTCCTCCTCCTCCTCCTCCTCCCCCAAACTCTCTCCCTTCTAGCACTGATGATGTTCCCTAGTCAGGTCACGAAACGTCTGCAAGGAAACCAACCAGAGAGCGCCCAGGACCCCCCCATCCTCTCCTCCTCCTCCTCCTCCCTTCTAGCACTGATGATGTTCCCTAGTCGGGTCACGAAACGTCTGCAAGGAAACCCCCCCTGCTCAGAGACCCTCCTCATTTCAACCCTGAGCTAAAATATTCTCTTTTATAAGTACAATTTTTGTTTTGCCTGCAGGCACCTTCGGAAGATGCTGCCCTTTCACAGCTGGGCCCTCGTTTTCCCTCTCCCCTTGCTCCTGGTCGTGGCCCCCTCCTCTGGGTTTTTTGGCTGGCTCACCCAAAAGGCCCCCCCAACTCCCGTGCCCAATGCTGAGCCCCCAGCTGCTGCTGCTGCTGCTGGTCCGGATCCAGCTGGCCTGGCCCGGGTGCCTTTTGAGATGGATACAGCCGACGAGCGGTTCCTAGCCGAGACACAGCCGGTGGATCTATCCCTTCTGGATTCCTGCCACCACAAGGTCTCTGGAGCTTTGCAGACGGGGTGTGTGTGTGTGTTTGTATACAACAGTCCTCGACTTACGACCGTTTGTTAAGTGACCGATATTGCAACAACGGCACTGAACAATACGATTTCAGCCTGGTTCTTGCCCTTATGATGTCATCCCCATGAACGTGTGATTAAAATTTGGGTGCTTGGGAACTGACTCGTATTTATGACGGTCACAGTCTTCCGGGATGGTGTGATCCCCTTTTGCGACAAGCATAGTCAATGGGGAAGCCGGATTCACTTAACAACCGTGTAACTAACAACCACACTTTAACAACTGCACCAAGAAAAGTCCTAAAATGGGACGAAGCTCCTTTAACGAATGTCTACTTGCTCAGCGATGGAAACTTTGCACTCGATTGCGGTCATAAGTCGAGGACTGCCCCTTACTGTTCCTCCTCCTCCTCCTTTCCGTGCCATTTCTCATCCTGTTGGCCGAGGCACCCCTGAACTGATATGGGGCCTTTTTTCTTCTCCTTTCCTGTGCCAGGTTATTTCCCAACTTCGCACAACTTGCGCGGATCTGGCGGAAGAAGAACTGGCCAAGCTGGGAGTGGGGCTGTTCAACTGCCAGGCCGATGCCGAAGGACGGAGGACTTACCTGTGCACTCAGGACATGGTACGTAGGCACCCCTGGCCATACCGAGAATACTGCATCACGTTTTGGTCCCCACCCTATAGAAAAAGATGTTGGGGCTTTGGAAAGAGTGCAGAGAAGGGCCACAAAGATGACTAAAGGGAAACTAAAACATATGAAGAATAGTTGCAGGATTTGTGTATGGCTAGTCTGGAGAAAAGAAGGACCAGGGGGGACAGGATAGCAGTATTCCAGTATTTGAGGAGGGGGTCCACCTAGTCTCCAAAGCCCCTGACGGCAGGACAAGAAGCGACGGATGGAAACTAATCAAGGAGAGAAGCAACCTGGAACATTTCAGACAAATGGCTGTCCAGTCTCTTCTTAAAAACTTCCAATATTAGAGTATTCACATCACCATTATTGTTAATAATAATAATAACAACAACAACAAAGTTGGAAGGGATCTTGGAGGTCATCTAGTCCAACCCCCTGCTCAGGCAGGAAACCCTATACCTTTCCAGACAAATGGCTGTCCAGTCTCTTCTTAAAAACTTCCAATATTAGAGTATTCACATCACCATTATTGTTAATAATAATAATAACAACAACAACAAAGTTGGAAGGGACCTTGGAGGTCATCTAGTCCAACCCCCTGCTCAGGCAGAAAACCCTATACCTTTCCAGACAAATGGCTGTCCAGTCTCTTCTTAAAAACTTCCAATATTAGAGTATTCACATCACCATTATTGTTAATAATAATAATAACAACAACAACAAAGTTGGAAGGGACCTTGGAGGTCATCTAGTCCAACCCCCTGCTCAGGCAGAAAACCCTATACCTTTCCAGACAAATGGCTGTCCAGTCTCTTCTTAAAAACTTCCAATATTAGAGTATTCACATCACCATTATTGTTAATAATAATAATAACAACAACAACAAAGTTGGAAGGGATCTTGGAGGTCATCTAGTCCAACCCCCTGCTCAGGCAGAAAACCCTATACCTTTCCAGACAAATGGCTGTCCAGTCTCTTCTTAAAAACTTCCAATATTAGAGTATTCACATCACCATTATTGTTAATAATAATAATAACAACAACAACAAAGTTGGAAGGGATCTTGGAGGTCATCTAGTCCAACCCCCTGCTCAGGCAGGAAACCCTATACCTTTCCAGACAAATGGCTGTCCAGTCTCTTTTTAAAAACTTCCATTGTCGGAGCATTCACCGCTTCTGGAGGCAGGTTGTTCCACTGGTTAATTGTTCCTTTCTTCCTTTCCATGCCAAAGAGCCTGGCGGAATGCACAGCCGGGATGGATCCAGATACCTGGAACGCTTATCACATCATCAGCAACCGAGCCCGGGCCGTCTGCTATGCCACCCGCCAGGTGGAATTCAAGCGCCGGGCGCAGCATATGGTGAATGCCCTGGTCTCTACTGCCGTGGGCCAGCTGGAAGCCATGGAAACGCTCAAGGTTCGGATGGACCCACTGTTGTGTTCCTCTCTTTTAGTCTGGGGTGTGCGTGCATGTGCGTGCATGGATGCAGGCATGCAGGGATGAATGAGAAAAACAGCAGCACTCAAGTTCACAACAATCTCTAAATATATGCAGGTAGAGCATGCACAGCCTTATTGCACGAGATAAGCCAGGAGTAAACACAGTAAACAGTGATTTGTATTAAATGGTGGTTTATCTGACACTATCTACAATATCATACACCAGGAACAATAGACATACACGTGCTAATACAGCAGGATCCAACAAACCACAGTTATAGCAGGAAACGGAAGAGAGAGAACACATCAGCAGAGCCTTCCCTTTATACAATGGCTCTTAAAGAGACACAGACCCTGCTGAGTCATTCCCATCATTACATACATTACCTTAGCTGGTTAGCTTCTAAATCATTACCTTGACACAGTTCTCGCCTTACAACCACAATTGAGCCGAACGTTTCTGCTGTTTAGTGAGTTTTGCCCCAATTTTACGACCTGTCTTGCCGCCATTGTTAAATGAATCGTGGCAGGGGTTAAATCAGTAACCCGATCATTAAGCGAATCTGACTTCCTCCATTGACTTTGCTTGTCACAAAGTTACAAAAGGGGATCGTGTGACAGGGCAACTGTCCTAAGTACATACCTGTTGCCGAGCCTCTGAATTTTGATCACGGGACCCTGAGGGATGCTGCAAGAGGTCGCGAGGGTGAAAACCAGTCCTAAGTCACTTTTTCCAGTGCCATCGTTGTAGCTTCGAACGGTCGCTAAGGCGAGGACTCCCTGTGTTTTGTATTTTGAAAACACACCCTACGAATGATGGGTACAACGATGGATGAAATGATGTATTTATACCAAAAGGAAGCTGAAAAAGCAATGCTCGTCCACTTCCGAGCTTTATTTTTATTTTCTGTGTTTTTTCCTTCCTGCGGACAGAGGAGCCAGGAGGAGCTGAAGCAGCTCACGGCGGAGTCCCTCCAGAGGGTGGTCAGCACCCAGGAGGGCCTACTCAGCCAGCAAGAGACGCTGCGAGGCGGCCAGGTGCAGATGGAGGAAGCTCTCTCCAGCAACCTGGAGCGCCTGGTCCAGGAGAAGGCTCTGATTGCCAGCGGGCAGCGGCAGGTGGCTGAGCTGCTGGAGGGCATCACGCGCAGGATGGGTGAGAGCCAGGACCAAGGATGCTCGGGGGGGGGGCTCCAAACGTCATCCAAATAGTCCTCTACTTACGACCACCATCGGCATTCCATTGCTAAGCAGTGTGGTTCTTCAATGAATCGTGCCCCGATTTCATGACCTTTTTGTTCTGGTTGTTAAGTGAGTCGCACAGTCACTAAGCAAACCCTTTGACTTGGCTTGTCGGAAGCCAGCTGGGAAAGTCACGAATGGTGACGATGTGGCCGCAAAAGGATGCTGCAACTGTCATGAAGTACATGCCGGTTCCAAGTGCCCGAATTTGGATCACGTGGCTGCAAAAGGATGGGGCCATGGTCATATGTCTGAGGTCCGGTCACTTTTTTTTTTCTAATACCATCATCACTTTGAAAGGTGGTTGAACTAATGGCCATAAGTTGAGGACTAGTGGTAAAATCTCTGTCCATCCCAGTGATCTTTTTTTACGGACTAAGAACGGCCTAAAAGAGTGGGAATTGTGGGGACCGTGGTGCTCTCTGGGCTTGGTGGTTTTCTTGTAGGCGTTTTATGACCCAACTAGGGAACATCATCAGTGCTAGAAGGGAGTGGGTTTTATGGAGTGGAGAGGAGGAGGAGGAGGTGGACTGTGAGGTCCTTGGTGCTCTCTGAACTTTATGGTTTTCTTGCAGATGATTCATTACCCAACTAGGTAACATCATCAGTGCTAGAAGGCAGTGGGTTTTGCAGAGGAGGAGGAGCAGGATTATGTGGTCCTTGGGGGTCTCTGAGCTTGGTGGTTTTCTTGCAGGTGTTTCATGACCCAACTAGGGAACATCATCAGTGCTAGAAGGGAGGGACAATTGTACTTCCTAGCATTGGTGATGTTATCAAGTTGAGTCATGAAACGTCTGCAAGAAAACCACCAAGGTCAGAGAGCACCAAGGACCCCACAGTCATTTCCTCCTCCTCCTCCTCTTCCTCCTCCTCCTCCTCCTCCCCCTTCTGCAAATCCCACTCCCCTGTAGCACTGATTGTGTTCCCTAGTTGGGTGATGAAACGTCTGCCAGAAAACCAGCAAGCTCAGAGAGCACGAAGGACCCCACAGTCGGTATTATTCTCCTTCTCTTTCTCCTCCTCCTCCTTGCAAACCCTACCCTCTTCAAACACTGATGATGTTACCTAGTTGGGTCATGAAACGTCTACAAGAAAACTACCAAACCCAAAGAGCACGAAGGACGCCTCCTTTCCACCCTGAGCGACAAATATTTTTTCTGTCGGTAAGACTAGAACGGAACCCGGTGCGTTTTTTAACCAAAATCCACTTGAGACAAGAATTCCCAATACCGCCTCTGTTTCTCTTTTGGCAGAAAATGTCAGCAGTCATCTGAACCAACAGGATGTGGAACTTCAAGAAGGACATCAGTCCATCCTGAGGGATCTGAGTCAAGTCCAAAGACGGGCTCAAGAAGTCTACTCCAAACTAGGTTTGTAGTAGGGACATTCCAACTCCATTCCTCTCCAGCTTAGCACTGATGATATTACCTAGTTTGGTAATGAAATGTCTTCAAGGAAACCAACAAGCTCAGGGAGCACCAAGGACCCCAAAGACCACCACCACCACTTCCTCCTCCTCCCCCCCTCCTCCTCCTCCTTCTCCTCTCCAAAACCCCCATTCCTTCTGAAGATGTTACCTAGTTGTAATAGTACTGAAGTTGGAAGGGACCTTGGAGGTCATCTAGTCCAACCCCCTGCTCAGGCAGGAAACCATATACCATTTCAGATAAATGACTGTCCAGTCTCTTCTTAAAAACTTCCAATGTTGGAGCATTCACCGCTTCTGGAGGCAGGTTGTTCCACTGGTTAATTGTTCTCACTGTAAGGAAGTTTCTCCTTAGTTTCAGGTTGCTTCTCTCCTTGATTAGTTTCCACCCGTTGCTTCTTGTCCTGCCTTCAGGTACTTTGGAAAATAGCTTGACTCCCTCTTCTTTGGGGCAGCCCCTGAGATATTGGAAGACTGCTATCATGTCCCCCCTTGTCCTTCTCTTCGTTAAACTAGACATACCTAGTTGCATCATGCAATGTCTGCAAGAAAACCACCCAGCTCAGGGAGCACCAAGGACCCCACAATCCTCCTCCTCCTCTTCCTCCTCTCCATAAACTCCACTCCCTTCTAGCACTGATGATGTATCCTAGTTGGGTCATGAAACGTCTGCAAGAAAACCACCCAGCTCAGGGAGCACCAAGGACCCCAGAATCATCCTCCTCCTCTTTCTCCTCCTCCTTCCTCCTCTCCATAAACTCCACTCCCTTCTAGCACTGATGATATATCCTAGTTGGGTCATAAAACGTCTGCAAGAAAACCACCAAGCTCAGAGAGCACCAAAGATTCCACAGTTGTCCTCCTCCTCCTCCTCCTCCTCCTCCTCCCCACAAACCCCACTGCCTTCTAACACTGATGATGTTACCTAGTTTGGTCATGAAACGTCTGCAAGAAGCAAACAAGCACCAAGGACCCCACAGTTTTAACCTTGAGCTCTGAATATCCTCTTCTATGAGTCAAAGTTTTGTCCATCCAGCTGACTCTCTCCGGGGTCCAGGAGAGAAGCTTTTTCCAAGTCAAGTGCACCACAGTCCTTTCCCCCTCCTCCTCCTCCTCCTCCTCCTCCTCCTCCTCCTCCTCCTCCTCCCTGCCAATCCCACTCCCTTCTAGCACTGATAATGTTACCTAGTTTGGGTAATGAAACATCTGCAAGGAAACCACCAAGCTCAGAGAGCATCAACGACCCCACAGTCCTCTCGTTCTTACATAGTGTGGTGGTAGTGATGGAAGTCTACCACGCTTGGAAGAACTCGAGGCTGGAGCAGACTCCGTTGAGTTGAGGTCCGCTTTCCTTTCCATTGGCCTTGAGACCTGCTTTTTCTTCTTCCAGATACCAATGTGGGTTTGTTTCTGGCCCATCAGAAGCAAACCACTTTGTACCACGATGAGTTACTCGGGAAACTGAGGAAGATGAACGAGACGTTTGGGCTGGTCCTTCAAACCATGGAGCACATGCAGAGCAAGGTGGAGGGGCGATTGCAGCACATCCAGAGATTCATAACCTGGGCAGGTAAGGCTACCTTTGAGCAACGGGTCTGCCATCAATTGAAAAAGACGCAAAGGAACCCCAGGATATGGTCCTAAAAGTCAAGATGGCAGCTGCCCTGGCACAATCGGCGCTCCGCCTGGTTTTCTGTGTGTTGTGACGACATCCCTGAAAGGAAAGTGATCTTTCTGATATACCTACATCAGGGGTAGGCAACCTGGGCTCTTTTATGACTGGTGGACTTCAACTCCCAGAATTCCTGAGCCAGCATGAGGGAAACTATGGCCCCCTCATGACTCATGGACTTCAACTCCCAGAATTCCTGAGCCAGGATGAGGGAAACTTTGGCCCCCTCATGACTCGTGGACTTCAAGTCCCAGAATTCCTGAGCCAGCATGGGGGAATTATGGCCCCCTTCATGACTCGTGGACTTCAACTCCCAGAATCCCTGAGCCAGCATGGCTCAGCTTGGAAACCTCTCCCTTTCCCCTCAGCGTGGCTGGCTCAGGAATTCTGGGAGTTGAAGTCCACCAGTCATAAAAGAACCCAGGTTGCCTACCCCTGATGTAGGTACCCCTGGCCTATATCCTTTTTTCCCACCTTGGCAACTTGAAGCTGTGTGGACTTCAACTCCCAGAATTCCCTAGCTAGTATAACTGGCTGTGGAATTCTGGGAGTTGAAGTCCACACAACTTGAAGTTGCCGAGGTTGACAATCACTGCTCTACAAGTGATCTGGAACTGGTGTTTCTCACCATTTGTTTGCTGAAAGTTCTCCTTAGATTCAAAAACAAAAGGGCTGAATTCATAAGGGCCGTTAGACACCCAAGTGCTTGATTATCCAACCTTTTTCAAATATTTTCAAAGGGAGAAGCAGCAAACGTATTTGCGTCTCCCATGTTTTGCAGGGTTCAGCTTGAGTTCTGTCTACATCTGTGTCTTGCACGTGCTCTACTTCCTCCTGGCTGCGCTCATCATGACTTTCCTGCAGATCCCCGGCGCATCCCGTGCCCTGCTGCTGGTTGTGGTTGTGGCAAACGCCCTCTTTGAGCTCCACCACACCGTTTCCTTGGGGTTCACGTCGCTCACGGGCCTCTTGGCATTGTCTGTGGCAGGCAAGTTGGCATGTTCTGGTTTTAGCCTAGCTGATGATGTGGAACTTTATCTCATGCGCCAGGGTTTTGCCCAACCTGTGAACTCAGCCCCAAATCCCTTCTGATGTGTCAGGACTTCCCTGGTGATTGGCCTAAAGTCACCCAGTTGGTTTTTGACTAGAACTCACCGTCTCCTGGTGATTGCCCCAAAGTCACCCGGTTGGCTTTTGACTAGAACTCACTGTCTCCTGGTGATTGGCCCAAAGTCACCCAGTTGGCTTTCCTGTCTAAGGCAGAACTAGAACTCACTGTCTCCTGGTGATTGGCCCAAAGTCACCCAGTTGGCTTTTGACTAGAACTCACCGTCTCCCAGTGACTGGCCCAAAGTCACCTAGTTGGCTTTCCTGCCTAAGGCAGGACTAGAACTCACTGTCTCCTGGTGATTGGTTCAAAGTCACCCAGTTGGCTTTTGACTAGAACTCACCATCTCCCAGTGCCTGGCCCAAAGTCACCCAGTTGGCTTTTGTGCCTAAGGCAGAACTAGAACTCACTGTCTCCTGGTGATTGCTCCAAAATCACCCAGCTGGCTTTCCTGCCTAAGGCAGGACTAGAACTCACCCTCTCCTGGTGATTGGTCCAAAGTCACCCAGTTGGCTTTTGACTAGAACTCACTGTCTCCTAGTGATTGGCCCCAAATCACCCAGCTGGCTTTCCTGCCTAAGGCAGAACTAGAACTTACTGTCTCCTGGTAATTGGTTCAAGGTCATCCAGTTGGCTTTTGTGCCTAAGGCAGGACTAGAACTCACCGTCTCCTAGTGATTGGCCCAAAGACACCTGGTTGGCTTTTGACTAGACCTCACTGTCTCCTGGTGATTGGTCCAAGGTCACCCAGCCGGCTTTCATGTCCAAAGCAGGATTAGGACCAAAAACTTAGAAGTTTTAAAAGTGAAGTCTAGGTGGACCAGAAATTCAAGGAGCAACCTTTTTCATTTCTTCCTTCCTTGCAGTCAACGTTCTCCTCGAAAGAATCTGCTGTAACACTTTGAAATACAGGACACCGAGACCCCTACGGGCGCCTTTGCCCCTTCCCCACAAGGCTCCAGAGAGCCCTGCTTGCAAAGCGGGCCTTCAGGCAGCCAAGCGCGGCCGGGTTACCTCCACCCCTGATAGGTAGGAAACCGGAGTGGGGGAGGGGGAGAATGCACTGGTTGTAATTTTCATAAACTTCTAGTTTTGTTTCTGGATTGCAGGCTCCGTGGTGTGTATGTCTTAGCGTTGACATTGGAAGGATTCTGTTGCATTGTGGTTTTAACCGCTCAGTTGTATCTGGGTGACTTCATAGGCTGGGGCTCCCCTCCACGCTGCTCTGTCAAGGCCAGGTTCTTTCAGTTGCTGGGTGTTCATCAGAGTCCTTGGATATGAGACGGGTGGCAAATAAATTAGATAGATAGATAGATAGATAGATAGATAGATAGATAGATAGATAGATAGATAGATGAAAGAGAAAGAAAGAAAGAAAGAAAGAAAGAAAGAAAGAAAGAAAGAAAGTAAGAAAGAAAGAAAGACAGCTACATGAATGATGGACAGATAGATGATAGAGGATAGAAGAAAGGTAGGTAGGTAGGTAGAGAAAAAAATGATAGAATAGATGGATGGATGGATGGAGAGAAATGGATGGATGGAGGATGATGGAGAGGATAGATAGATAGATAGATAGATAGATAGATAGATAGATAGATAGATAGATAGATGATGGAGAGAGGATAGATAGATAGATAGATAGATAGATAGATAGATAGATAGATGAAAGAAACAAACAAAGAGAGAAAAGAAAAAAGAAAGAAAGACAGACAGCTAGATGAATGATGGACAGATAGATGATAGAGGATAGAAGAAAGGTAGGTAGGTAGGTAGAGAAAAAAATGATAGAATAGATGGATGGATGGACAGAAATGATGGATGGATGGATGGAGGATGATGGAAAGGATAGATAGATTAAAGAGAAACAAAGAAAGAAAAAGAGAAAGAAAAAGAAAGACAGACAGACAGCTAGATGAATGATGGACAGATAGATGATAGAGAATAGATGAAAGGTAGGTAGGTAGAGAGAAAAAAATGATAGATTAGATAGATAGATTAGATAGATAGAGGATAGAAGAAAGAAAAAAGAAAGAGAAAAAAGAAAGAAAGATGGATAGACGGACGGATAATTTTTCTTTATGAATTGCATTTCAGTGGTATTTACGAGTCTGTCTTAGCATTGACACGGAAAGAATTCTATTGCAACGCCAACAGGGATCCTCCGTCGTCCAGGTCCTGGTTGTCCCCAAGGTGCTTTTTCCAAAGGCAACGGGACTTCCTTCCTTTTTCCTTGAAGAGGTTTCGCTTCTCCTCCAAGAGGCTTCTTTAGTTCTTCTTCAGAAGAAGCTTCTCGGAGGAGAAGCAAAACCTCTTCAAGGAAAAACAAAGTCCAGTTGCTTTTGGGGTGGGAGGGCATTCTATTACAAGCTTCTGGAAAACGGGCCTTAAAGAAATGGGCGATACTTTTTTCCCAAACTGCTTGCACGGATCCCCAAATCTCTCCTCTTTGTTTTTGTCCCTCTTTGCAGAGAAGGTGAGGTGGGCCTCCTGCATGAGCTGGAGAAGCTGGAAGAGGTGAGCTACCTGTCAGGTGAGCAAGACTGCTAGGAGGGAGGTGGGGGGGGACAGAGGTTGTTGTATATAAACATCCATTTGTATTTAAACCATACAAATCCTGCTCCCTTCTAGTACTGATGATGTTACCTAGCTGGATAATGAAACGTCTGCAAGGAAACAGCCAAGCTCAGAGAGCATTAAGAACTCCATAGTCCTCCTCCTCCTCCTCCTCCTCCTCTCCACCCATCCCCACTCTGTTCTAGCACTAATGAAGTCCTCTAGTTGGGTCATGAAACGTCTGCAAGAAACGTCTGCCAACACTCCAGAAGACAGGCTTAGGATACAGGGTAATCTGGACAAACTTGAACACTGGGCGCTATCTGACAAAATGAAATTCAAAGGTGAAAAAAGCAAGGTTCTACATTTAGGCAAGAAAAACCAAATGTACAGGTATAGTATAGGGGGTACCTTGCTCAATAGTAGCAACTGTGAGAGGGATCTCGGAGTCCTAGTGGACAATCACTTAAATAGGAGCCAGCCATGTGCTGCAGCTGCCAAAAAAGCCAACATAGTGCTAGGCTGCATTAACAGAGGGATAGAATCAAGATCACATGAAGTATTAATACCACTTTACAAGGCCTTGGTAAGGCCACAACTGGAATACTGCACCCAGTTTTGGTCACCACGATGTAAAAAAAGATGTTGAGACTCTAGAAAGAGTACAGAGAAGAGCAACAAAGATGATTAGGGGACTGGAGGTTAAAACCTATAAGGAAAGGTTGATGGAATTGGGTATGTCTAGTTTAACGAAGAGAAGGACGAGGGGGGACATGATAGCAGTCTTCCAGTATCTCAGGGGCTGCCCCAAAGAAGACGCAGTCAAGCTATTTTCCAAAGTGCCTGAAAGTAGGACAAGAACCAAAATAGATGGAAACTCATCAAGGAGAGAAGCAGCCTAGAACTAAGGAGAAACTTCCTGACAGTTAGAACCATTAACCAGTGGAACAACCTGCCTCCAGAAGCAGTGAATGCTCCAACACTGGAAGTTTTTAAGGAGAGACTGGACAGCCATTTGTCTGAAATGGGATAGGTTTTCCTGCCTGAGCAGGGGATTGGACTAGATGACCTCCAAGGTCCCTTCCAACTTTATTATTATTATTATTATTATTATTATGGATCATCGCACAGTCAGCCAGATGTTCAGACTGGATTTGGCATTTTGTCTACCTGTCGAGTCCTTACCCAGGACCTGGGATAGGCAGTTGTTGTTGTTGTTGTTGTTGTTGTGTTATTATTATTATTAAAACCAGAGAGCACGAAGGACCTCATAGTCCTCCTCCTTCTCCCTTTCTCCTCCTCCTCCTCTCCACAAATCCCACCATTCTAGCACTGATGATGTTATCTAGCTGGATAATGAAACGTCTGCAAGAAAACAGCCATCTTAGAGAGCACTAAGGACCCCACAGTTCTTTCCTGCTCCCCCTAATACCTCCTCCTCACTAGCACTGGCTCGGTTCATGGAACGCCAAGGAAAAGAACGGGTTTGCTGATCACCCCAGGCCTGGCCTCTGCCAACCCCCCCCCCTTGTCTTTTGCAGATGGATTCCCTCTGAAAACAGACTCCCTAAAAAATGAGGGGGACCTCCTGTCTTCCACCCAGGGGAGGAGGCAGGAGAGCGGAGCCCTGGGTCCCTCCCGCCCTGCCTGGCCTTTGCGCCGCTTGACTTTGAGCCGCTGCAACAAAACAGAGGTAACCAAGAGGTCGGAGCATGCGCTGTGAGAAGGGTGATTTTGGGGGGCTGGGGGCTGGGTGGATGCAGGCCAGGTTCTCAAGCCGGCCCCTAGGGCAGTGATGGCAAACCTTTGAGAGACCGAGTGCCCAAACTGCAACCCAAAACCCACTTATTTATCGCCGGGTGCAGGTGGCCCACTGGGTGGCTGTGGTGGTCATGGCAGATTGGGTGGGCGTAGTCAGCTCAATGTTGCTCGTGGGGAGGGACGCCTGTGGGGAGTGGGCAGGATTGGGGGAAATCCAGGGGGTCTCTGGCAGGTTGGGGCGATAGGCAGCAGGCTCGTCCTGCGGGGTGAGGCGAGGCAGGGCAGGGGTGCCATTGCCATGGGGCAAGACAAGGGCCGGGGCAACTGCTGCCTGACACCATCGGTGCCCACACACAGAGGCCAGCGAGCGCATGGGGGCCGATGATGTCCATCAGCAGCCACAGCCTGCTGGCCGGCGCACTCTGGGGTCCCGCCACCCGCCGCCAGCAGTTCAAAGAAGTCACCTACGAGCTGGCCAACAGCTAAGACGGCGATGCAGTGGGTCGTGCCCGGGAAAAGGAGAGCATGCGAGGCCAGGAGGGACGGGAGGGGGGGACGGGAGGGGGGGAGGGAGGTGAGGGAAGTTAGCCCCCCCCAGAAGGAAATATTAAAAAGGAATATATATTTTTCACCAAAAGGATTTTTTGAAAAGCAGTAAACCAAACCTGGCCCCAAATTTCTTTGTCCCAAGCAAGAGCTAACTTCATACAAATGCAAATGTAAAACCACCAGGAACTCAAGACAAAGAATCTCTTAAGAGTCATTAGCCCAGCCCCAGGGAAGCAGGAGATGACTTTTGGGATATAATAGGACTAACCCATTACCATCAAGTATACCATAGAGGCACACCTAGACTCAGGTCAGAATACGTGACACAGGAAATAGCCTCAAAGTTCACGCCACAGGAACAGGAAACTATTCCGAACAAAAGGCTAGAGGGGGTATAAAAACCGACTACACCATGTGCTCAGCCCTTCTCTCCTCTGCTCTTTCCTGAAGAACCATCTTTCTGCTTCTTCAATAAACTGTAACCTTCTTCCCAAAGCAGTCGCCATGTTTGCTTATTTATTCCCGGCTTGGATGAACCAGGATGAAGACTTTACTTCTAAGAGAGGGAAACCAGCTATGCCGGGATGCATCCAGTCACTTGGGACCTCGGCGAGTTAGCAGGCAGCTGGTTGAAGAGGGACAGTTGCCATCTCCGGGGCGTGCCCACAGAGAGGGCTCTGAGTGCCACCTCTGGCACACGTGCCATAGGTTCGCCACCACTGCCCTAGGGTGTTGCTCGGTGTCAAAAGCGGTCATCAGAATGGGGATGCTTTGCAAGGCAGCTTGAGTGATGACCTTGCACAGGTTTCTGTCGGCCGAGCCACCAAACCCAACTAGACACATCAATTCTATTTTATGGTTAAGGTTACGTCAACCAAACTTTGCAAATTTGGAGCGTATCGCAGTTGCCAAAGCTAAACTCACGTTGGACACATGTCGACGGAGGTTCTCCGTCCTCTAGCGCAGGGTTGTCGCAAAGGTGCTTTTTTCACCAAGCAACTGGACCGTCTTGGTTTTTTTCCCCTTGAAAATGTTTCCCTTCTCATCTAAGAAGCTTCTTCAGCTTCAGAATCCCAAAGGTGCCTTTTTTTTTCAGGAGGCTACTGGACTTCTTTGTTTTTCTCTGGAGACGTTTCGCTTCTCATCCCAGAAGCTTCTTCAGCTCTGGCTGGATGGTGGTGTTGAATGAAAAATCTTCATCAGGGTCCAGTCCAAGCCGGGAATAAACAACATGGAGACTGCTTTAGAAAGGAGATTGTGGTTTATTGAAGAGGAGAGCCAGACTAAAAAATGGCTCTGGAAGAAAAGAGAGAGCGAGAGCACATGTAGGGGATGGGTTTTTATACCCTCTGGGGCTCTTGAGGTTGTTTCCTGTTCCTGTTTGAGGCTTTGTATTTCCTGTGTCATGTATTTAGACCTGTGTCCCTTTGGCATCTGTGGGTTAATCCTATCATGTCCTGTCTTAGAGTTTGGGTTGGGTACGTAGATTTTAGGTGTCTTTGCCTTCCTAAGCCTCTAGCTCAGTGGTTCTCAACCTGTGGGTCGGGACCTCATTTGGGGTCGAATGACCATTTCATGGGGGTCGCCAAACAACACAGTCCGCCATTTTTCCCCCCTTTTCCTTAGCTGTGCTACTCCCTTTTATTCTATTGGCTTTTGAAAGCCAATAGAATAGACTCTCTTGAATAGAGTCTAATTCTATTGGCTTTCAAAAGCCAAATAGGAATTGTCCAGGCTGTCTCTGCCCTGCTGAGCCCACCAAAAGTCCCATTCTGCAAACGGTGCTGCACCAGTTGAGTAGTCCTTGACTTACGACTGGTTGAATAGTCCTCGACTTATGACCGGTTGGGGGTCGCAGCATAAAAAGGTTGAGAACCACTGCTCTAGCTGGAGGGCTCCTACTGTAAGGACCCACCCCACTTTGCATCTTAAGAAGACAGAACTCTTGGAATAATTCTTCCAACAGGAATCCTTTATTAAGAGAAAATGGTTGCAGGCATGCTAGACAGGACTTGGGGTTCAAGCTCTCCCATTCAAGGTTTTAAGGGGTTCCCCAGTAGTCCCACCCAATCAACCCCCCTTCCAGTGATAGTTTCAAGTATCACAATTCCATCCCCTTTCTTCTTCCGTCTGGATGGAGACTTCAGATAACTACATGAAAGGCAATTACTCTTCTTTGATATGTTAACGCTTAGAGGCCACAATAAACATACATTCAGTCCTTTGAAGTGTGCTGAAGGAAGTGAGGGCCATAAAGCCCCTTTGCTCTCCCCCTTTTCTCCCTCTTATGGCAGAATCCAGAGAAGGCAGAATTGGGAGTTTCTATGTTTGATAATTAAAGATGAAATATAATTGGATTCTGACATCCGGCCCCTCTTAACAATAAGAGAGATCCACCTGAAAGAAAACACAAGTAAAAAATTTAGTTAGGCTTGTTAGGATACTCTGTGTGAAACTTCTTCAATAGCTTCGGGGCTCTGACGTGACGTTTATGGACCCACTCATTTTGTGAGGCAGGGAGGTGTTTCCAGGCAACTAGGTACTGAGTTGTTCCACGATATCTCCTAGAGTCAAGGATCTCTTTTATTTCGAAGTGTTGTTCCCCCTCCACCATGATTGGAGGTGGTGGGGGGGGGATTTTTGGCCGTAGAGGTGACTGATGCTCTCTTTTCAGCAAGCTGCAATGAAAAATTGGGTGTATTTGCCTGAGGTTTTTGGGTAATTCTAATTCTACTGTTACTGGATTTATGATCCTTTTAATTGGAAAAGGTCCTATATATTTTGGTCCAAGTTTTTTACAGGGCTGTAGGGACTTTAGGTATTTTGTAGATAAGTACACCATTTCTCCTATAATGAATGGTGTAGGCTCAACCCTTTTTTTATCGGCTTGTGCTTTGTATGCCCGCCTAGCTTCATCTAGTGATTTTCTGACTATTGGCCAGGTGTTTTGTAGGTTTTCCATCCATTCTTTCAGTGAAGGGATCGTTGGTTCTTTTGGGGTTAACTCTGGCATAGGGTTGAAACTTTGGCCGTTGGCTATTTGAAAAGGAGTGTAGCCTGTGCTGGAGTGGACTGCATTATTGTAGGCAACTTCTGCAAAAGGAAGTAAGTCCGTCCAATCACTCTGTTGGAAATTTAAAAAACATCTCAAATATTGCTCAAGTACCGACTGGCAGCGTTCCGCTTGTCCATCTCCTGAGGGTGGTGGCTAGATGTCAATCCCTGAGTGGTCCCTAAGAGGGATAAAAATTCCTTCCAAAATGCAGACGTAAATTGCACTCCCCTATCAGAGATGATGCGTTGGGGTGCCCCGTGCAATCTGTAAATGTGCTGGATGAAAAGTTTTGCTAAGGCCTTTGCAGTGGGAATTTTTTGGCAAGGGATAAAGTGCACCTGTTTGGAAAATAGGTCCGTGACTGTCCAGATAACAGTATTCCCATTGCTTTCAGGCAATTCCACTATAAAATCCATGGCTATTTCCCTCCAGGGGGCTGAGGGACTTGCCACTGGTTGTAACAGCCCTGGCGATTTCCCTTGCAACCTCTTTGCTGATGCACAGGTTGGGCAGCTGGCAACATAACTTTCTATGTCCTTTTTTATTGATGGCCACCAAAATTGCCGTTTAATTAAGTGTAAAGTTTTTACAAATCCAAAATGCCCTGCTGATTTTGTGTCATGGCAAAGTTGCATGAAAGTTAGTCTTTGAGTTGTTGGTATATATAACTTTTCCCCTACCCCAGGCAATCCGTCTCTCATTGTGCACACATGTTTGTTTTTCTGGAACCAATCATCTGTTTCCAAACTTTTTCTGAATTCAATCCCAGTTTGGCTGTCCAGTTGTGGTTTTATTTTGGCTTGGGTTCTTGTGGTTACTGGCGCTGCCAGTTGTGACTCTGCCATTATTGGTCTAGAGTCTGTGGTTCGTGCGCTGTTATATTGGGGCATGCGAGATAGTGCATCTGCCAGGAAGTTCTTTCTTCCTGGTAAATGTTTGAGCTTAAATTGGAATGGATGAAAATGCTGGGACCAGCGGGCTTGTTTGGGATTGAGTTTCCTGGACGTTTTCAGGGCTTCTAAATTTTTGTGATCAGTCCACACCTGGAAGGGGATTTTGTTGCCTTCCAGGAACTGTCGCCACGTGAGTAATGCCCAACGTATCCCATAAGCCTCCTTCTCCCATACGGGCCAGCGCTGTTCTGTTTCCGTGAGTTTCTTGATGTATATGCACAGGGTTGCAATACTGCATCATCATTTTCTTGTAATAGCACAGCCCCCACTGCCACATCACTTGCATCTGCCTGTATTATGAAGGGTTTGTCCATGTCTGGGTGCCTTAGTACTGGTTCGGCAGAAAAAAGTCTCTTTAGTCTCTCAAACGCTGCTTGGCACTCCATTGTCCATGTTTGGCTGGCTAGGTTTTACTGAGGATGTTCCCTTCGTTTTTAGTAAGTTAGTGAGGGGCAAGGCTATCTGGGCAAATGAGGGGATGAATTGGCGGTAAAAGTTTGCAAAGCCCAGGAAACTTTGTAGTTGCTTTCTTGTGCGGGGTGGTGCCCAATCTAATACTGCTCTGACCTTCTCTGGGTCCATTTCAATGCCCTGTGGGGATATGCGATAGCCTAGGTAGTCTATCCTTTCCTGGTGGAATTCGCATTTTGAGAGTTTGGCATATAGGTGAGCGGCTCGCAGCTTCTTTAAAACCGCTCTGACAAGTTGGACGTGTTCTTCTTTTGTTTCGGTAAAGATAAGAATGTCGTCCAAGTAAACAAGGACCCCCTTAAACAGGTGCTCCCTTAGAACGTCATTGATTAATTGCATAAAGACTGCAGGGCCCCCTTGTAATCCAAATGGCAAGACTTTGAATTGATAGCACCCCATGGGGCAGTTAAATGCAGTCTTCCATTCGTCCCCTTCCTTGATTCTTACTCGATAGTAAGCTTCCCTTAAGTCTAGTTTAGAAAAAATTTTCCCTTTCGATAGGTGTGACAGCATGTCTTTCATGAGGGGCAGCGGGTATAGGTTGCTTTCACTGATTGTATTCAGGGCCCTATAATCCACGCATAAACGTAAAGAGCCATCCTTCTTCTCTCTAAAAAGGACCGGGGCAGCCACTTTAGGCTTGGCTGGCTCAATGAAACCTCTCTCCAGGTTTTTTTTTATAAATCTTTCCATTTCCTCCTTCTCCTTTGGGCTCATGGAGTATAATCTGGGCTTCGGGAGTTTTGCCCCAGGCTTGAATTCAATGGTACAGTCTGTGGGTCGGTGGGGGGGAAGCTCATTCGCCCTCTCCTCACTGAAGACTTCAGCAAGGTCCCTATATTCCTCTGGTATTTCTGTTAATCTTTTTTCCTCTCCTATGGATGCTTTTTCGATTCTTGATTCTGGTAGCCTCCCTTGGGGTTTAGTCCATTAGGGTCCCCCTTCGGGAATTTGATTTCTGTCGTTCTCCAATTACCCAGGGGTTCCATTTTTTCAACCATTCCAGCCCTAGAATCATTGGGCATTCCATACCTGGGGTCACCACAAACGTTAAGTCCTCTTCATGGTTGCCCAGGGAGAGATGTATTGGCAAAGTGGCTAGGGTAGCTGGCACCCCCCCTGCTATGGATCCATCTAGCTGGCAAAATGAGATTGGTTGTTCCAGTCTCCTGGATGGGATGCCCAGATTCCCCACTAGTGTTGGGCTAATGAGGCAGCGGGTGCAGCCAGAGTCTATTAAGGCTTTCACCTTCACAGCTTCGGGCATGGGGGGGATTAATTATAGTCATGTTTGAAGATGGGTTTGATGATCCACTTACCAAGGGGTTCGACTCCGAGCTGTCATCTGAGGCAATCCACCGGCCCTGTGGGTCCGGCTGGAGTTCTTTCCCCTTGGTGAGCAGTTGGTGGGGGGGGGGTTTCTGCAAAGTCCATACATTCTCATGGCCGGTTCTTTTGTGCTTAGCTGAAGACTCTATGGGTTGTGATTGGGGATCTGTCTGGGTTGTGCGGGGGGCCTTTGGAGTGGGTTGGCATTCTACAGCCCGATTGCCCTGCTCTCCGCACTTGAAACATTCATTTCGCTTCTTGGCGTATCCGATGATTTCACGGTTGGTGTGTCAGCTAAGAGAGGGGGCGGCTCCATTGTTTCTCGGCGGTGACCTTTCAATATGTCGATCTCTGCTTCGTCTGCCAAGACGTACCAGTCCTCACGTCGGTGTGAGTCCCCTCGGGGCAGGCAAGCATCATGTAGATCATAGTTTAGTCCGTCTTTGAAATGGCTAAGGAGGATGTCTTCTGGCCAATTTAGTTTGCTGGCAATGCCCGGAATTCTTGTGTATATTCAGCCACCGGGCGTTTGCCTTGCCTCATCGTTTTTATCCTTTCAGGGGCTTTGCGATCAGCCAGGGGGTCTTCAAATCGTCTTCTCAAAGAGGACATGAAACGGTTGAAGTTACTGAGTTCTGGGGCATTGGAGTCATGCAAGTTCACTACCCAATCCGCAGCTGGTCCATCCAGGGCAGATTGCACAATCCGGATGCGGGCTTTGCGCTGGGAATATCCTGCCCATATTCCTCCATGTAGCTGAGGACTTGGGTTAGGAAAAACCCCAAGCGTGTTGGCTCCCCTTTGAATTTCACTTCCAACGGTGGACGTCTTGGAATGGATCGGTGTCTCTGTTGTGGGTGGTAGTGTATTCCGTCCAGAATGCCATCTGTGGTCCGGTAGGGGGTGGGGGCTCCTGGATCAGTAGATGTCCCGGGGTTGCAGGTTCCAGTCCCCCTCGGTGTCTCCTCCCTTTGCGGCTCAGGAACTGGGGCGGCCGTAGGGTCAGTAGTTCCTCTCCTAGGGAAGCTGAGAAGTCTATTTCATCCAGGTCAAATAGTTTCTCTAGGATCCAGTCTGAGTACGGTGCCAGCTTCATACGCTTTCACTTGCGTTTGCAGGGAATTTCTCCATCTCTCGCTTCCATTCCTGGTTGCGTTGGGTTCCCCGTCTCAGGGTCACCTTTCTTGATTCCTTTCCCCACTCACGTCTCTTTCCAACGCCCATTGACCAGCGAGGCTTTTGGTCCCGTGTCTCCACTACTTCATCTCCTGAGGAATCTGACCTCTTGGATCCCAACATCCGGCAAGGTTCCAGTTGGCGCAGCGGCTCTCTTCCAGGGAGTTTTCCCCCTTTCTTGCTCCATTGTCTGACATGGTAATTTTTTGCAAAATCCCCCGGCAAGGGTCTCCCTTCCAGGTGGATTAATTTTGGAAGTCCTGTCTAATGTAAGGACCCACCCCACTTTGCATCTAAGAAGACAGAACTCTTGGAATAATTCTTCCAACAGGAATCCTGTATTAAGAGAAAATGGTTGCAGATGTAGACAGACTTGGGGTTCAAGCTCTCCCATTCAAGGTTTTAAGGGGTTCCCCAGTTTTTAAAAAGTCCACCCCAATCAACCCCCCTTCCAGTGATAGTTTCACGTATACAATTCCATCCCCTTTCTTCTTCCGTCTGGATGGACGACTTCAGATAACTACATGAAAGCGCAATTACTCTTCTTGATATGTTAACGCTTAGAGGCCACAAGAAACACACAGTCAGTCCTTTGAAGTGTGCTGAAGGAAGTGAGGGCCATAAAGCCCCTTTGCTCTCCCCCTTTTCTCCCTCTTATGGCAGAATCCAGAGAAGGCAGAATTGGGAGTTTCTATGTTTGATAATTAAAGATGAAATATAATTGGATTCTGACACCTACCTTCCTGAATGGATTATTTACATCTGCATTTCTACAGAGACTTGGGGCTATTAAGAAAAACTGGGCATGCTTTTCTGCCTCTTTGAGGAAATATAATATTCTGCCCTTTTAATATTTCCTTTTCGGGGGGGCTGACCTCACAGTGGGGAACGGAAGGATTTATATTCCTTGCAAGCAAATCTCCAAGTGGCCTCAACGACTCTCTAAAAAAAGGATGCAAATAACCGGCTGTCTGCAAGGAGTATAAATCCTTCCATTTCCCCACCATCCGGTCAGAGCTGAGGAAGCTTCTGGGATGAGAAGCGAAACGTCTTCAAAGAAGAACAAGACAATCCAGTTGCCTCTTGGAAAAAGCACCTTGGGGACAACCAGGACCTGGATGAAGGAGAATCTCCATAGACATCTTGCACCAAGAAGTGAAACTTTTTCCAAGGAAAATCTAAGAAAGCCAGCTGCCTTTTGGAAAAGACTCAGGCTGGACAGCATAAGCATGCTTGGGAACTAGACCATCCTATCAAACCAGGATAGGATTCCTGTTCTTGGGTGCTGTCTGTTGCATGACCATCCCTTGCGTGCATAGAGCTCAGAGGGGTCTTTTGGCCAACCCCCCCATAAGCTGCCGCTGCTTCTCTTGAGTTCTGCCCCCCACGGGCCAGAGACAAGCCGAGATGCATAGCATCAGAAAGATGTGTCCATCTTCTTTCCCCAACAGGCCAGCTTGGAGAGACTTCCCAGGCCTCCCTTGGGCTCAACGTTCAACTCATTCTCCAGCCCGCAAGTCTCCTCGCTAAATGATTCCTTGCTCAGCGACGTGTAAGTATGGAAGCTGGCAGTGGCCGCTGTGTGAGTCAAAGCAATCTCTCCACAAATGTTCTATCTGCATCTGCATACATCGTATTAAGCCATGATTTGCTCAAGCTAATGGATGGGCGCAGTTTATCCCTATCCTCAATCTCTACATGAGTATATTCCTGTTTCAAGGGTAGCTGTTCAACCCGCTTGGTCTAGTGGCTAAGGCACCTGGCTAGAAAGCTGGAGTCTCTGGGAGTTCTAGTCCCGCCTTAGGTATGAAAGCCTGCTGACTTTGGGCCAATCACCAGGAGATGGTGAGTTCTAGTCCCACCTTCAGCATGAAACCCAGTTTGGGTGACGTTGGACCAATCACCAAAGGACGGTGAGTTCTAGTCCCGCCTTAGGCATGAAAGTCGGCTGGGTGACTTTGGGTCAAGCACCAGCAGATGGTGAGTTCTAGTCCCGCCTTAGGTATGAAAGCCAGCTGGGTGACTTTGAGCCAATCACCAGGAGACTGGGAGTTCTAGTCCCGCCTTAGGCATGAAAGCCAGCTGGGTGACTTTGAGCCAGTTACTGGGAGACGGTGAATTCTAGTCCCGCCTTAGGCATGAAAGCCGGATGGGTGACTTTGAGCCAATCACCAGGAGACTGGGAGTTCTAGTCCCACCTTAAGCATGAAAGCCAGCTGGTGACTTTGAGCCAATCACCAGGAGACTGGGAGTTCTAGTCCCGCCTTAGGCATGAAAGCCGGCTGGGTGACTTTGAGCCAATCACCAGGAGTCTGTGAGTTCTAGTCCCGCCTTAGGCATGAAAGCCGGCTGGGTGACTTTGGGCCAATCCCTCTCTTAGCCCAGCTGGCTGGGGAATTCTGGGAGTTGAAGTCCACTAGTCTTCAACTTGCCAAATTTTGGGGGGGGGGAAACCCTGCTCTGGAGTACTGAGGCAGAAGAATTTGAGAAGTCAAGCTAACTCTGGTTTAACCCCGAGCAATCGCCATCTTCCATTTTTTCCCCCCTGCAGCTCCAGCTGCTCGGCTTCTCCCAGGCCCTTTTGCCAAGGGATCACCAGGACTGGACAGCCATGCAGGAAGAAGTCCCTTTCCCACCAGGTCTTCTGCCACGTTCACGTGGCCGGACACAGCCACCTCACTTGACCAGCAGCATCCTTGGGACACTTTCGGACCTTCCTGCTTTGCGATTCTGGTGGACTGAAAGCCCATTTTCAGGGGAATAATGTCGATTACTCTCGATTTAGCACTTACGCGCTGCTGGATAATCTCGTTTCTACCAACAGTGGACAGAAAACATCTAAATCGGTTGGACTTGGGAACCATTAACGTTCTCCTTCCATTTTTCTGCCTACGTTAGGCTGGAGGCAGTATCTATTCTTCAAACGTGGCCCTTTGATGACTTGTGGACTTCAACTCCCAGAATTCCTCAGCCAGGCACGTGGAATTCTGGGAGTTGACGTCCACATGTCGTAAAAGGGCCACGTTTGAAGACCCCTTTCTTATCTTATAGCAGGGGTTTCCAAATCTGGCCACTTTTAAGACTTGTGGACTTCAACTCCCAGAATTCTTCAGCCAGGCATGTGGAATTCTGGGAGTTGAAGTCCACAAGTCGTAAAGGGGCCACGTTTGAAGACCCCTGATCTAAAACAATCATCTTTCTTAAAGCAGCTGTCACTGTGACTATCCATTCAGCTAAAAAAAGGACCAGATTTCTTTGTAATTTTCCACTTTGAGAGATCTTCCAAATAAGAGAAAATAAACCTGGATCCAAATTTGCTCGGAACGTTGCTCTGAGGACACTTTTGGCAGAGGGTGAAATTTTACGGTGACACCGAACAGCTGCCGTCCCCAAAAGTGTTTTACTTAATAAGAGTCTATACTGCCTTCTTTTTAAAATTGATTGTTGCTGTGTGTACGCCGAATAAACATGTTTTCTTTATAAATACGAATGCAGCCAAGGAAATAAGTGAAGTTAAAAAAAAATAATTAAAGGGGATATACAGGTAATCCTCAACGTACGACCACCATCCGTCGCTCAGTGAGACACGGCTTTCAGTGAGTTTTGCTCCGTTTTGTGACCTTTCTTGGGACGTTAAGCGAATCACTGCAGTTAAGTTAGTACAGGTAGCCCTTGACCTACGATCCCAAACGAGCTCAGAATTTATGTTACTAAGTGAAACATTCATTAAGTGAGTTTTGTCCCATTTTATGACCTTTTTCACCCCAGTTGTTAAGTGAACCTCTGGTATTTAAGTAGGGACATGGTTGTTAAAAGTGAA